CCTGTGAATTTTTGATAAGGAAAGAGGTTATCAATTGTGAGATTTCTGACTAGTAGCAATAATTAAAATTCCCCTTTTTTTTCAATGGATTTCCTGCCTTTTATTTTTATTTGGAGTAATTTATCTGCCAAAATTTAAAGCATTGTTTACCTTGCCACATTAATAATTTTCTGATCCTCCCAATATTTCATTAAAGATTTTTTGTTCTTTTTTGCAAAACAAAATAATAGAGGTTTTCTGACTAGTAAAGAAATAATTAAAAAATACATTTTTAATTATTTTATTTAATTCTCTCTCTTTTCTGGATATTCTCTCATACATAAATATATTTATTCCTCAAATTTTTCACTCACATTCAATATCAGCAAGCCTCAATACGCGCCTCATTTCTCTCAATGAATTTCCTGCCTCTCAAAATACTTGTCTTCTGTCTGCACAGTCCGCCTTTAGGTTGTTACTTAATTAATTCGGCCCCAATTAGGAGAGCGAGCCCCCCACAACAGATTGAAATTGGCGTGTACACACAACAACAAATATACACACACATGGCTGACTAAAAGAGTTAAGGAGTCATCAGGCTGACAGCAACAAAAGTAGTATTAACAAGTAGTAGCAGTACATTTATAAGCGTATGTGCCCCCTCCTTTTTCGAAATTAATCCAATTAGCGAATCGATCGCGCGCGCTCACCACAGAACATAGGACAAACACCAACACCCCCAAAACCCATAAATGAGTAAAGATTTTGTTTTTGATGAAAAGAACCTCAAAAAGGAAGGAGGGGGGTTAAGTATTATTTTTAATTTTCTTTTCTTTTTGTTTACCTCAAAAAGCCTTCAAAAAAAACTTTTTTTTTCATCTTCTTTTATTTTAATTAAATAATTTCTTAAAAAAAAGTCCTTCCATTATTTTTTTCTCCCTCTCATTTTAATTTATAACTACTATTTATTTATTATTTACAAATCGAAACATCTTTTTCTTATTTAATCCGCAACGTGTAATTAGTAACATTATAACCACATCCCTGTCTCGGTCAGCCTTTTAGCGTCTCATTCCTTCATTTATTCTTTATTTTTCTGTTGCTGGCTCATTAACATTAACAGCGCCGCGAGATTGCTTAATGAGAGAAAGAAATGGCTTTTTAGTTGTTAGGCTAGAAAATATACTTTTAATTTTATTTTTTTAATTTTAATTTGCTTCCCTTAAAGTGCGAAAAATTGGAAAAATAATTTGTAAAATTATTTTTATTAAAAATGGACAGAATAACTTCCTCCCAACCTTATTTTCTTAACCAAGGGGCTAGGATACCTGAAACCATGTTTCACTTATTCTGCCAATCATCTGCTTTTGTTAACTTCTCGGACTATTGTTTTTCAAAGGTTTCGTCTAATATGTTCGTTCTAAATATGTTCATTAACATAATCCTCGTTATGTTCCAATTTATTCAAATTCAATTTAGACATTTATTTTCACAAAAACATTTCAGAATCTTTAAATAATATTAAAAGGCTAAATTCAAAATTAGAAAATCCAACAAAAATGTTTTTGTGATTAAAAATTTTTATTCTCAACACATTTTCTTTTAATTTTCCCCCAAAAGTATTGCTGCTACACATTGCCGTCATTTGCTTCCGACTAACCCACAAAATTAGCAATACTCTCCTCTACTAGCTATATATCCCCCCAATCTGCAGGCCAATGGAATTAAGCATTATTTTCGTTCTCCTTTTGCTTTTCCACAACTTTTCCCCCCTGTTTTGTCGAAAAGATGTCGGAAGACTTTATTTGGCCGCTGATTAGCAGCAATGGCTGGGCCAATTAGGGAGTGACTGCTGTAGTTTATTTAGTTAAAAGAGACTTTATTTTTTTATTTTGTTGATGATTTTGTTGATGAAATAAAGTAGTAGAGGCACGAAATGAAGCAATTTGTTGTCCAATTTCTAAATTTATTTAATTTATCTAATTCTTTAAATTTTCTCTTTTTTCCCCTTTTTTTAATTCTAAAATTTGTGACATTCTTTTACTAAATACTAAAATTGGCTTTTTAAAAATAGTAAATATGTATAAATAGTTTGTTGTTTTAAATAAATATTTTTGGAAATTATTATTGTTGTTTATCTTATTCCTTCCCCATCTAATTAATATTTTAAATTTATTTGTTAATTATATGTAGCAATTTTAAATTTAATTATTTAACAAATTATATTTAATTTATAATAATTATTTGACCTTCTCACATTTTTAAATCATTTATATGTACTTTATATAAACCAATAATTTTCAAAAAAAAATATTGACACCCTTTCATCTTCTTTTCTTAATAAAAAAAATATATTTTCATGCCTGATTTAAAGAAAAACTTTTTTTTTAAATAATTTTCTCGATTATAAACCAATTCTAATGGAAATTAGGAAAAAATTTACAAAAAAATGAGCAAAATAAAAATATTTTCTCGCAAAAATAATATTATAATATGTTCAATTTTCATCTCCATTTTCTTTTTAAAGGCGTCAATGAGGTAGCGGGAATAATTGGTTTATATTTAATAAAAAAAAGAAAATATATTTTAAATTAAGAATTTTATTTAAATGATTTTAAATGTTTTTATTTAATAGTGCACATTATTTAATTTATATATTTATCTATTTTTGACAATTTAATAAACAAAAATATTAATTTTATTTTAAATAATAAAAAAATATATACATATTTCTTTTTTAAATAAAAAAATTTTTAGTTAAAAAGCGGCTAAAAGTATTCGGGGATAACTCTAGAATTGGGCATTTTTAGATTTTTATTTAAATGTTATTTAATAGGTTGTTTCATTAAATTAGGTTTTTATCGTGTTTTCTGTGTGATACATATTTTTATCCAATTTTGTTATTAATTTAAATTCTTTTTTTTTAAATTAGATTTATAGTAAATAATTAAAAACAAAATAATTATTATTTATTTTAAACAAACTTTTTATATATAAATTAAATTCATTTATTTTAAATAATTGCCAAGTTTTGTGTTTTTCCTAAAAAAACTTTTTTCTGATTCTCTCAAAGCTTTGAAGCGAATATTTATTTATTTATTTTATTCTACCCCACCTTTACTACTCTCTCAGAAAGGTGTTTGGTGAAGGGCAATTTAGACGATTATTTAAAAATATTGGCCAAAACCGTAAATGCCACACTTTTTAAATAATTTTAAGCATTTTACACTCTGTCTGTAGCTAACAGCTTAATTTTAAGTTTTTAGTTCTAACAATGCGCGCCCGGCCGTGAAACTAATGTATATAAATGTGTTTGGTTAAATTGTCGGTCAGCCCTAGTAATTTTAAAAATCGGCCCCAAATACATTAAATAATGGAAGGTTTTTACTAAATAAATAAAGAAAATAAATATATTTTCTTTTAAAATATTTAAAAGTTTTTTAAAAATATTTTTAAATAAAAAACAAAGGATATATTTACCTATGTACTAATCCAAAAATTTATTTCAAATATTTAATTATTTTTTAAACTTTTTCTCATTTACTGTAATGGAATTTTTATATTTTTATTACAAGAAATGTGCATGGAGTATTTAATAAACAAAATTATAGCAAGTAATTGACCAAACAAAATTTTAACAAATTATAGCGAATTATTTAAGTGAGAGGAGGGGGAGGGGTTTTGTTGAATTATATGGAGTAGAAGAATGAGAGAATAAATTGGCAATATTTTTCTTTTTTGAAAAAAAAGTTTATAACCTTGTAATAATAATAAATAAATAGATGGCCTCAAAATTTTTTTTCCCTAATTTTTCTTTTTTTTCATTTCATTTTCTCCAATTTCTCATTTAATACCCTCTTTCTCCCTCAATTCTTGTATTTTTAATAATTTTTATGTATATATATTTATTCATCTCAATTTATTCTTAAAAACTTAAAATGAGAATGTTTATTTAGTTAAAAAAAGAATTTATATATTTTCATTCCCTCAAGATAAGGAGGAGTTTTTGGGCATTTATATATTTATTAGTAGTAGTAGTAGTTGATTAGCCGCCAGCCGCCTCTTTTCCCTTTTTTCCCCTTAACTTTTACATAAATGCCTAGGCTCGTCATTTGTAAATTCATTTTTATTCCTTAACTAACCCCTTCTCCCTCCCCTCTCCACCCCCCTTCCCCTTCCCATTCCCGACAAATCCAATTGGTTAGGGACTTTTCTTCCCTTTCATTTTCTCATCATCAAAATCTTTGTCACCCTCCATTTAATAAAAAGGCAAAATCATTTCTTTAAAAAAAGTTATTTCCTCTTTAGCCCTTCTTAATTTATCAGGCACTTGAATATATTTTTGTGAATTACGACAAATAAGAGGTTTTGAAAATTAAATTTTTGCTTTTCCCAATTTTCCTCCTCCACACTTTTTACGTTTTTTTAAATTAGGCTGCGTAAACGATGAATTGTTGGGCAAAATGGCAAATAATTTTACGTGCCAAAATTTGCCTTAATTTTTGTAAATATTTTCCTTTAAAGAATTTAAGTTTTATTTTACTTAACTAAATTTACTTTCCCCTCATTTTAGTTAAGTTTTTCTCTAAAAATAAATTATGAATTGCTTAAATTACTGTAACTTTTAAAAAATTTTTTTTTAATAATTTTTGACTTTTTTGACATTTGTTATAAAATTCCAACTTTAATTTAAATGATAAAAAACTGAAAAGGTATTTTGGTGATTAAATCTACAGAATTCGCTCAATAAAAAAGGATTTTGATAAAAAATCCGTGATCAATTACTTTTTTTAAATTTTAAATAATAATTATTCTTTATTTAAAATTTAGTAATTATGAAAAAAGAAACTTCCAAATTATCCCCAATTAATTCAAATCAAGATATTTCCATTAATTTAACTAAAAACAACGATAATTCTACAAATTATCTTGCCAACGATAATAATATTATTTCAAATTTTCTTTCAAAAGGTATTTAAAATTAATTTTAAAATAAATAAATAAAAATTAATTAATTTAAAGAAAGTTTACTTAATTCTTTGGTTGCATCCTCTTCTTCAGTTCCTTCAACTTCTTCCCCTATTTTTTCACCAACTTCAAATTCTTCTTTTAATTATTGTGGAAGTAATACAGGAGGGGGGAATATACTCGCTAGAAATAGCACAAAAACTTTAAAATGTCCAAAATGTAATTGGCACTATAAATATCAAGAAACACTTGAAATACACATGAAAGAAAAACATGCTGATCAAGAAGTAAATTAAAAGGGGAAAAAATAAAATAATTATTATTTTTAAAAGGTTTTATGTCTCTTCTGTTTAGAAAATCAAACACATCCAAAACTTGCTAGAGGAGAAACATATTCTTGCGGTTATAAACCTTATAGGTATTTAATTATTTAATTAATTTAAATTTAAAATTTAAAAAGATGCGAACTTTGTAAATATTCAACAACAACAAAAGGCAATCTTTCAATTCACATGCAATCAGACAAACATTTACATGCTTTACAAGAAATCCCCCAATCTTTGGCGGCTGCTGCTGTAGCGGCTAGTAAATTTTTGTTTTCTTTATATTTTATAAAATTGGTTTAAATAAAATATTTATTTTGAATTTTTAAAATTAATTTTAACATCTTTACATGTTTTTAATTTTTGTTTTGAAATTATTGCTTTTTAAATAGACGCTTATTATAACCCTCAAACTTGAATCCAGCCTAATTATTTCTAAATATTTATTTATTTTTAAAAGGTTCTTCTCAATTAATACTCGGAAATACTCAATTTAATAACAACAATAATTATTCATCAACACAACAAGAATTTGTAGATATTTCCAATACTTCCACAAATAATTCAAAAATAATTGGGGGATCTCTTCAATGTTTAATTTGTTTTAATTTTTATACTGATATTTCTGAAATTATGGTTGAACATGCAGAAAAGGATAGAAGCTTAACACAAGAATGTGATATTTCTACAATTAACGGATATTTTCAAGTAAATTAAAAAGAAATTATTTTACATTTTAAATATTATAATTAGTGTTTAATATGTCCATACAGCACTAATTTAAAAGCAAACTTTCAATTACACACTCGTACAGACAAACACCTACAACGTGTTCAAATGGTTAATTAATTTATTTTTACTAAGAAATCTAAAAATTTAAATAAATTTTTATTTTCAATCCAAAAGAGAGAAAAAAGACAAGACATTCCTTGTAAACCAACAATTTTGTTTGGAAAATAATTTTTTGTTTGTTTCTAATCAAAATTTTGTGTTAAATGAGGTGTGGAGTTTGTCGATATTCTCCCTCTTTCCCTCACCAAAAAAAGAATAAAAATAAATATCCTTGTAATTTCTCTTTAAAATTATGTATTTAATAGATTAATCATTTACGAGAAGGAATTACTGGACTTTTTGGACAATCTGAACAATTTTCACGACTTGGAACACTCAAAAGTGCTGTTCAAGTAAGATGCCAGGAATGCGAAGAAATATTTTCTTGGTAAAATTAAAATGAATATTTATTTTTTGTTTTTATTGGGAGACCTTTTGGAAACCTAAAAATTAAGATTAATTTTTCAAAAAAATATCCAAGAACAAATTTTTGTGTTTAAAATCCTTGTCGGGTTCCTATTTAATTCATAAAACCCTTGTCACGATCGTAAAGCTAAACAACCGATAAAAAGGCGCCTTTACCGTAGAAAAAGAATTATTATTTGTTTGTTTGGTAAAAATGGGCGCAAATAAATTAATGAAAAAAGAGAGAGAAATATTATTTATTTGATTATTTAAATTTTTAGAGATTTTATTACTTTAACCAACATTAAAAAAGTGCACTTTGAATTTTAAAAAAATAATAATTTTTGTTAAAATTTTATTAAATTTTTTTTTATTTAAAATATTTTGTAGTTATTTTAATTTAAATTTCCCTTTCAGTATTCCAACACTTCGAGAACATTGCCAATCTTATTCACACAAAATTCGAATGATTGGAAGTGGTAGATGTTTACAAAACGAAATTGAAAATGTTTTGGAATCTTTTTTGAGTGAATTGTCTTTAAGTTGTGGAATTTGTGATTGGGAAGAGAGTGGAAATGAAAAAATAATTTCTTTGGCTTTTGGTTTTTTTAAACTGAAGATAATTATTATTTTTTAATTTTAGAGCATGCCAACACTCATTCTGAACAATTTATTGAAATTACAAAACAAACTGATAATTTAATTCAAAATAATTCAAATAAAGGTAAACAAACCTTTAAATAAATAAATATTTTCTTGGGTAATTCTTTGGTTCGTACCCCCCACTCTTTTTTCCTCCATAAAAGTATTAAAAAATGGTCAGTCAGTCCTAGGTTATAGAACCTGCCGAGCTGCGTCAAATGACGCCAAAATCATGAAAATCCGACATGATTTGACCCAGATACAGACCTCTGAAAACTGAAAAACCATAGGGACGAAAAACCATGGGTTCGAGAGTTTATACAAATAATAGCTCATTCGAAAGAGCTCTTCGAGATGAGTCGAATGACGCCAAAATCAACTCGATTGGACAAGATTTGACGAAATTATGACATAAAGTCGCCACTCCGATAGGTCTACTTCATGTCATAACTATGTCAAATCTGGTCCAATCACGTTGAATTTGGTGTCATTCGACTGAGCTCGACGAGCTCCTTCGAATGAGCTATCATTTGTGTAATTTTTTTCGTTTCAAAAAATCGCCCCTGTGGTTGTTCAATTTTCAGGGGTCTGTATCTCGGTCCAATCAAGTCGGATTTTGTCAATTTTGGTGTCATTCGACTCAACTCGACGAGTTCTATAACACAAGATTGACTGACCATTTTTTAACACTTTGAGGAAAAAAAAATGGAGTGGGGGGTACGAACCGAAGAATTACCTTTTCTTGGTTATTTATTCAGAATTAAAATTTGTTCTGTTTCGAGATTTAATGGGCCAAATATTCAAAAAAATATAAAGGAAATGCGCGGCAGGAAATCCCTGCCGCAAACAATAATAAAAAAGCCTAAAATAATTTTAAAATGTGTTGACCCCAAACAAATTTCCGCCACCTTTAACTTCCTTTCTAGCTGCGGTGCTTTTTAAATATTTTATTTTTAAGGTGAGAAATAAATATATTTTTGTTTTGAACCTTTTTTGTTTTTAAGTAAATATTTGGGAGGGATCTACTAATAAATATATTTTCTGAGTTTATTTTTTACTTCAAATTTAATATTAAACAGAAATTAAATATCAACAATTATATCCTTCTTATCATTTCAGAGATCTCAAAGATATAATTTTTTTTTAATTCTCTTTTTTTCTCTAATTAAAAACAATTCAATAATAATTATTCGAATTTTAGCCTTAATTAATTTTTATTTTATTTACATAAATAAATTTATTTTCATTCTGCCATTCTCTATAATTTATTATTTCTGTTGAATTCTAATGGACTCGTACCAACAATACTAAATAACACTCCATTATTATCCAAATTCCAAGGTCAAAAACAATATATATATTTATTTACATATTTGGAATATATTTTTAAACAATAAAATTTGCAAAAAAATTAATTACATTTTCGGGACCTAATTGTCAAAAAATTGTTTTTTTTTTGGAAATAGTCAAATCCTAATTTATCAATTCGGTATTTTTCTAAAATTAAAACAAAACTTTAATGAATATGTAGATTTTTCTAAATCCCTTTTTCGAATATATAAATTTAATTAAATTATTTACATAAATAACTATTTGTTTTTATATTTTCTTAAAAATAAAATTAATTATATACATTCACACTTTTATTAAATTTAATTCTTTTATTTCTGGCGAGGAATGCCAAATCCTTCTATTATTCTCTCTTCCTCAAGAAAGCATTAACCCCTCTAAATCCCCAAAATCCTCATTCATTAAAAATAATCTTCTCCCCCTCCCCCTTTCTTTTCCGACTTGTTGCCCTTCCAAAAAAGCTAAACAACACCCTCTCTCTTTCCCAATTTTTGACTGTTTTAATTGTCCTTCCATTCATTGTCATTATTTTCCCCATAATTTTCTTCACACCCTTGATAACCACCTAAAATTCATTCATTACATAAATATATTTATATCGAGTGTCTGGCCACCAAAAACAACCAAACAATAGATTTTTTGGTTATTTTGACCGAGCATTTCTCTCTCCTCCTTTATTAATTCCCTAAATTAATATGTAAATTCTTTAATGCCTATTTTACTAAAAATAAATTATTTTTCATTAAATTTAATATTAATTCCTAATTTATTTTTACAAAAAATGTTAATTTTTATAGCCGTTTTACATTTCAAGATAATTTTTGCTCAAATACTGTTAAGTCTATTTAAAGAAGATTCTTCCTATTGTTTAGGAAGGAATACCCAAAAATGTTTTTTTCACTGGTGCTTGGACACCAGTGAAAAAAATCACTGGATTTCGAACAGCGGTGATACGAAGTGATTCTTCACTCCCAATTATTTTAACTTCCCTGAACTTTACGGTGTCGAAGAATAAACTAAAAATCTTAGGAGGAAACGATAATTATCAAAAAAATATTTTTTAAAGTTCTAATAATAATTTTTGATGCTCTTGTTTACAATTTAATTCCCTACCGCGCATTTCTGATTACTATATTTATTAATGTGTTATTAATAAATTATTTAAAAATTAAATAAACAGATTTTTCTTATTTAATATATTCTAATCTCTCTTCACGTATTAATCAACAAAATAAATAGTAAAATAAAAAATCTTTTTCCTTCTCTCTCTTCTCTTTTTTAAAAGCTTTGAATTATTTTCATTATTCATTCAACCTCATATATTTATTGTCAGCATGAGACAAATCAAATTATTTTAATTCATCATCAAATCCCTTTCATTAAATCTCCAATTTCATCAACTCTATTCATTTTCTAAATTTATGCGCACACATTAATGTGATTAAGTGACTGGAGAGATGATGACTACCCTCCTTCTCACTATTATTAATAAAAACTTTTTTAATGTACATACTATTTCAACCATTATTTCTAATTCGACAATTTAATAAAAATATAAATACATAAATATTGATAATTAATTATTTAATATTTGATCATTCAGACATAATCTCTAAATAATATAAAGATGACATTCTCAGGTCCAATGATTGAATATTAATTTAAATTTACGGATCCTCCACAAGTAATTTGAATGATCTAATAAGGATTCGATATTTGATTACTAGCCATTATTTCCCGAATTTTTTCTTTCATTTTTCTTTCTCTCGGTGAATCTTGGTCTTACACTTATGTCTATTGGCCATTTTAGTTTTTAAGAAATAAAAAATTCGGGGAATAATTATTTGAAATACAAAAAATTTAATTATCAAATGTCTACTAGATGTGTATTCTGTTGATTGTTGGAAAGACCGCTTTTTTTTATTTTTATGCCATTTTCCCTTATGACACCAACCGTAATTTTTCTTTTGATTAATAAACTAATAATATAAATAAATTTATTTTCATCATATAAAATACAAATAAGCGGTTTAGCGAATAAAACTATTGTGTAGTCAATGATGCGTAATAAATTTTTGGGGCAAATGAATTAAAAGTATTACTATAATAAAATAAATATGTGGTTGTCTTCTCTCGTTAATCCAACTTAAACTCTTCACAAATTTATTTTTCTTCTCTCAATTCTGTCACCTATTTTTGCATTCCCATAATCATCAAATGCCTCATTTCAATAATTTTGTATTTATTTTGTTTAGATTTCTCTAAAATTTAATATTAAAAAAAAGAAATGTTGATCAACCAACCAACCCAACCAACCAAACATTTAAAAAGGAGAGAGAGGGAAAATGAAGGAACCAACCGCCCTTTTTTCTTCAATTTTCTCCTCTCCCATACCCTTTTTAATTTTGGTTTTCATCTTTTCCCGTCGAAAAGCCTTTCCACACATATTAGGTAGAAAAAAAGCTTGGGAATCACGGTTTTGTGCCTTTGATGACATAAATAAATATTGGGACATTAAATATATAAATTAAATTAAAAATTGTCGGCCAAAGATAAAAATAAAAAAAATCACTTGGGGAATGTTTTTTATTAAAATATATACATGTTTAATTTTTGGGATTGGAAATTGAAAATTTGTTTTTTAATTAATTTTCAAAAGATTTTTCCAATATTTTTTTATTATTTCAATAATTTTTTATTTTTCTCGAATTCCTCTTTTTATATTTAAATTTCTCTTAATAATTTTAATGTTTTTCTTAATTATTAAAAAAATAATTCTAAAATTATTTTTTCATTATTAAAAGGCGTTAATGAATTCTTTTGCTACCGTAATTCTTCTCTCTCTCATTTACTTTAACGCTAACAAACAAACCATTCGTTAATGCCGCCTCTTTTGCTTACTATACATTAAATAACTAATTTGTTTAGTTTTTCTCTACAATTTTTAAATAAAAAAAAATATATTTAAAAATTAAAAATCACTTTGGGCTTTCTCAATAAAATATTTGTTGCCCTAGTCACAATTTGGGGCTAAAATTAATTTATTAGTATTTTTTAAATAAAATTAATTACCTAAAATTAAGAAAGAAAATAAATTTAAAAATTGAAGAGAAAATATTTAACAAAAAAGAATGTTTAATTAAATAATTAACGACTCCCAATTAATTTTTGGGGGCCGTCAATTAATTATTTACTTAATTATTGCTTTTTGTTTTCTTAAAAAAATTTTTTTTGATAATTTTAGAATTTTTTTATCTAAAAAATATTAATTTAAAATTAATTACAGATTTATTTCTAAGCACTTCCCCCTCTCTCCTTGTCTTTTAAGTATTTTTTATGCGCTGATTTTATCTTTCATTATTTTCAACATATTTTTATGTATTTTATGGCCGCTATTTATCCCCAATCATTTCCTTTATTTTTATCGATTTAAAATAAATATAAAAATTCTTTTGTCAAAAATTTCTTTTAAAAAATATTTTTCTAATTAATTTTATTTATTTTAATCTCTTGATTTTCTACAAATTTATTTAGAATTAATTTAAAATAAATTAATTCTTAAACTTTTTTAAAATATTATTTTTTTAATTTTAATTTTTCCTTTTTTTTTTACCAAAAATATATTTATTTAAATTCTAACAAATTCTTTTTACTTTTTAATAAAAGTAAAGAATTTTTAATTAAAAAACACATGTAAATTAATTTATTATAAAAATATATTTATTTATTCAAAACCAAATCTTTCTTTCTCTTCTCTTTAATTTTTCTTTCACTTTTTGGCAAAATAAATAAAAAAATAAAGATATTAAATCCTTAGGGATATAAATGTTCTGACTTTTTTAAATATAAAACTTTAAAAACGTTTTTCTTTTTCTTTAACCAAAAATCTGCCACCCCTCCCCCCCCTCTCCCCTCAACACGCATTAATCTTGGCACACTCCGAAATTACTAGTTTTGGAAGAGTCCATATCCACCTCCTTCTCCTCTTCTCTCTTTTCTTATAAACTTTTTGGTTTGACTGATGAATGAGAGTGGGAAATAAAGAGAAAAGAAAAGAATTGCCACACACTTTTAAATATATCCTTTTTATTTTGGCGGTTGATTTTTCTACATTTTTCAGTCATTAATCAATCTGTAAAAGATTTAAATTTTACTAGTTTTAAAATCCAAATAGTACATTTAAACTCTTTGTTTTTAAACTCTTTTTTAATTTTTCTTTAAATTGTGTTAATCCAGAAACATTTTTTTGCAAAAAAAAATTTGGTTTTTAATTAAATTAATTATTTAAAAAAAATCTGTTTATAGTATGCAATAAAACAAATCTGTTTATTTTTCTCACTTATTATTCCTCTAATTTATTTATTAAATAATTTTTTTATTCCTGATTAGCTTATTAAACTTTTCAATTAACAATTTTTTATTTATTAATTAAAAAATCAAAATATCTTCTAATTTACAGTATTTTCTTTTTTTAATTTAATTATTATTTTAATTTATTTTTCCTCAATTCATTTATTAAAATAAAAAACAAAATATCCCCTTCCTTCCCCACATTTATTTGCATTTCCCCTCCCTCCTTTTCCCTCATATTTTTTTAATTCCGATATAGAAAATAAATATCTGCACCTGCTATACACATATTATGCCTTCCTTCCTTGCTTTTTTCCTTCTTTATCATTAACCGCTTTTCCCTTCCCTTCCCTTCCCTTCCCTTCCCTTCCATCATCTTCACTTCCATAATTTGATCGCGCTAATCGCTTCCATCTGTTTTAAAGCATTTCCTTTGTCGGTAATCATTGATGATGGCCAATAACTTTTTTTTCCTTTACTTTTTAAAGTGTTTGTGCTATTAAAATGAGGAAAGAAAATAAAAAAATAAATGCCGGCAAACCATAAAAAACCTTCGGGAAAAAACCTTTCCCTCCTCAATTCTCGCTTAAATACATTCCTTTATTTATTTTAAGGACATTTTTAGACAATTTTTTTAAATAAATTTTAATTTTTAGAAGAAGAAATTAACGAAAATAAAAATATTAACAACAAAAACTTTGAGGAAAAAGACAATTTAATTAATTGGGAACAATTAGATAAATATTTAATTAATGCTGGATTGGCTAAATATTTAAAAAGTGAAGAAAATAATAATAATTCTGAACAGAAATTAGGTGAGTTAATTTTTGAAGTTGTCCAGATAAAAGTCTGTCTAGAGATTTTAAATAAAATTACTCGAAATCAAATAGCTAAATTTTATTTCTTTTAATTATTCTGTTAATGTGTTCATTATCATTTTCTCTTTTATTTCATATTTAATTCTCATTCTTGTAAACAGTTGCCATACTAACTAAATTTTGAAATTTGAGAACTCTAATAAGTTTTTAAATAAAATAACTAAACAAATGATTAGTAAAATTGGGCAAAAGTTGAAAATCATTTGGGGATTATTTTTTGAAACATTAACTACTTACAAATTGTTAGTTAATCTTTTTATTTTTAAATTAATCCTTTGAAATTTAAAAGAAAATAAAATTTTGTTTAATTTTTGATTTATATCTTTATAGATCCTTTATTTAATAGATCCTCCAATAAAATGATTCCATTAAGTAGGATATGTATTATCTAATAGATTTTTTAGATATATTATCTAAAAAAATTTTCGTTTACATTCACGGACCATGGCGAATTTTACTATCACGGTTATCTGTCACCAGTATTTTTAATATATTTAACTATTTACTGGAACGGACAATTTTTTTTGAAAAAGGATTGATAATTATTTAGTTAAAAAATTATCTTTTTTTAAATAAATTTATTATCTCTAAGCTTTAATTTAGAAGTTTACTGTAATAAAAGAAACAAAAAATTATTTGTTTATCCCCTCATTTATTTGCGCGGAAATGCCATTTTGCCAGATATTTTCTTTTTTTTTTGAAATATTTTAACAATTATTTATTTGTTTTTTTTGCCATTTTTCTTTAAATTTTATACCATTTATGTACTAATAAAAAATATTTTTTGTTTACTTTAGTCGGTTAACACCTCTTTGTTCTTCTCTCTGCGCGTGCCCATCCACCTCTTTTTTTTATTTTTTTCCAAATTATTTATTTATTTTTTGTGTCCCCATTTTCTTAAAACAATTTTCCTTTTTATCTTCTTTTTAACGCTTTTTCTTTTTTTTTATTTTTTGTGGCCACTTCACACCTTTACCGGCACACATTATAAGAGAGCAGCTCTTCATCAAAGAATTTATTTATCTACAAAAGTGTGTCCGCTTTTTTATTTGCTACTTTTCTTTTTGTAAATATTAGTGACTAAAAATATGTAAGAATTTTAGAAAGTAATAATTGGGGAAGTGTTTCGATTTTTAAATTTTGATTTATTTATTTGTTTTAATTCTCGAGAATTAAAAGAAATTTCTGATTTTTAAACTCTCAATTTTCGAAAAAAATTTTTTGTGAAAATTTCTTTGGAAGAGCTTTGGAAGAGCAATTAATTCTCTCCACATTTTATTCCTGAAAATCTAAAAAAAATTCGAAATATATTTTCATTTTTTTTAATTCCTTTCCCTTTCCCTTTTCCCTTTCACTTTTCTAATTTAAATTAAATAATTTTTTTAAATTTAAATTTTTAATTAAATGACTAATTCTCCTTTCCAAATTATTTTTTTTCTTATTTAATTTATTTTAAGTAATTCTTCAATTAATTTTCTCGTTAAAATGAATGATTTTCTTTTTAAATAATTTTAATTTTTTTTCAATTATTTAATTACTAATTTTTAAAAATCCCTAAAAATTGATTAAAGTGAAAGTTTTTTTCTATTAATATATTGCCGCCTCGATTGTTTCCGCGCAAACAAAAAAATAAAAGTGAGGCCATTGTAGAACAGCAACAATCCATTAACACAACAACCCCCTTTAAATAAATATATTTTTTCCTCTAATAATAATAAATATACCTTTGGCCTTTACTACATACAATTAACTAAAATATTATTATTTTATTTAGAGTGTTTTCACCTTTCATTTCTCTTTTTTTAATTTATTTTAATTATTTTTTGATTTAATTTTTTTCTTAATTTTTAGTTAAATGTTCTTTTTGCCCTGCCGAATTTACTATGCCTAAATTGTCTAAGCATATTTCTGAGGTAATTAATTAATTCTAATTTTGTTTCGAAGCAATAAATTAGTTAACAATTTTTTAATTTCATGGAACATAAATAGATATTTTAAAATTATTTTAAAACTCCTTTAAATATTAAAAAAAACAAAAAATTATTCCCATCCAATTTCTAGGAGCACTCCATTCCCGTAGATATTGCTCACCAATTAGCCACACAAATTGATGAAGATTATCAACAAAAAATGTCCACAAATCAAGAAAAATTGTTGGAAGATTCAATTATTTGCAGGTTTGTCAAAAATGTTAATTAGAATTTTTGGATTATTTTTTAGTAAAATTATTCTAACAAAAGATGCCCACACTCTTTTTTTAATTTATTTTTTATCAAATTTGGCCAAAAAATTAATTTTTAAATAAATAAATTAGCGCCGAATTTCTGCCTATTGACAAAAACAATTTTTAGGGGAAAATTAAATGTGTGAATATGCATATTTTAAATAAATTGAAATAATGAGGTTGGGTGGGGAAAGGGGGAGGGGAGGAGGAGGGAGGGATCGATCAGCTAAACCATTAAAGGAAGAAATTTAAAAAAAATGTGGTTTTCTAAAATATTTTTATTTTTTTTAATTTTTTAATTGAATATTTAAGATTACTTAATTTCTTTAGTAGTTAAAAAATTTTGTTTTCTTGAAGAAAAGTATAAGAATTTAACCGCTTAAATTGAACATTTCAACAATTTTTTGAATTATAGAGAAATCGGAATCATTTTTCTAAATATTCGTTCTCTTCTATTCAATTCTCACAAAATCTCCTTAATAATTTCAAAATCTTTAGTTCCTCCTCCACATCCTCAATGCCTACTAACTTGCCAACTTCATCTATCCCATTAAATAAAGAAGATGAAAATAATATTCCTTCAACTTCCTTTAAACAACAATCAGAAGAAAATATTTTTAGTTATAAATGTAATCAATGTTCAAATAATATTGCTTTTCGAACTGAAGAACAATTAAAGGCTCATACACTTTGCCATTCACCAGCACGTTTTAAATTAAAAAGAAAAATTGGTGGAAATGAAAAACAAAAAATATTTAAATGTGATGTTTGTCAAGATTGTTTTGATACAAATGGGGAACTTTTAGAACATTTTAATTCCGAAAAACATTTGCAAAAAGCTGCAGAGAAAACATTAGTAGGAGGAATGGAAGAAGATGAAGTTGTTAGATCACGTCTAAACTCAAATGTAGGGATTTTTATTTTGAAAAGAAAAACTTGGCACTTAGGAAAAAAGACGAACTATTCTAAATCAGCTTATTTATAGAACAAAGACATACTCAAACTTTTTTTTATTAATCGTTGATTACCATAATTCGAATGATTCCCGTCATTAATCTTTATCCAAAAATTCGTTTTATTTTTATCATCAAAAATCCCTATTTTTAAAATACAAATAAAATATAAATTTTTAATATTTTAGTTTAATTTTTTAAATTATTTTTTAGCAATTTTCCTCAACTTGTTCAACATCCAGAACTCCATCAAAATCTTCAACTTCCAAACAATATTCAAATTCCCGTCGCAATAGTGCCAATTCTTCTAATAACAAATATTTACCTTATATTTGCAATATTTGTTCACTCTCTTTTGGTCAACCAGGCACTTTAGATACACATCTTAGGTTGTTGTTAGAGATTATAAATAAAAATTATATTTAATTAAAGATCAACAGCACATGCACAAAGAATTGTTAAATTAAATGAATTAGTCAAGTCTGGAGAAATAAATCCACAAGTGCCAGTTTTTGAACAGCCTGAACCTCATCCACCTCAGCGAAGTATTGGAGAACTTTTACGTGAGAAGAAAAAGGTATTTAATTTTAATAGGTATCTGAACTGTAAATTAGCATTTTATCTTTTCGAAGAGAGCCTCCTCAGTTTACGAATTTGCCTCCTCAGTTTACGATTATTTCTCTAAGATTTTTTAATTATTTTTTTGGGTCTCCTCTCTCTCTCCGGGATCTCTCATTTATTTTCAAAAACTTTTCTCTTCGTGATCTTCCTTCTTATAAAGTTTTTGCTTTCTCTCAGGAATACCTTCCCTCTCATCCTGTATAGGGGTCAGTGTCCCCCTTCCAATTTACCACTTACCTCCGAATTTTACGCACATTTACTAAATTTTATATTTTCCACTAAATGAGTGCGCGATCCTTCAAACAATAACATTTTTGTTTGTTTCACCCCTTTCTGTATTGTTCTTCTCATTTTTATTTTCTTTTCTTTTATTTATATATTCACCCCAATTTCTTTTTTTAAAATAATACTTACGGTGTATTTTTGTCGGCCACGATTGCCATCTTAGTTTGCCCCCTCCCCTTCCACCCCTTCTCATTTTTTTCTCATTTACCAGCTTCAATTCAAAAATTTTCCCCTTCACCTCTCTGGGATACCTACAAACACTTTACTTATTTATACTCATTGGCGACGGTAATTTTTGTGTGAATATATGCTGAAACGGAGACAAACACATCAGGGGTGGACGCAATTGAAAAAAAATTTTCCGCAGCCGCAATCCGCAACTCGCAATTTTATTTTTAAAATCCGCAGCCGCAATCCGCAACTCGCAATTTTTATTTTAAAATCCGCAGACGCAATCCGCAATCCGCAAGTCAAAAAAACACGCAATTTCACGCAATCCGCAATACGCAATCCGCAATTTTTGAAATAAGTGGTAGTCTGGGAAAATAAGGAGATTTGAAGTGTTAGGGAAGCTTCCATGTGATATCAGTGATTTGGAAGGATATAGAAGATTAGGAATTTGAAGGGATTGAGAGAGATTCAGAGCAGGGGGAATCCACCTTAATCCCTTTAAATCCGAGTCTATCCGCCTTAATATATTCTATTTAAATCCCGCGATATATCCAAATTCAATTTGGTATACCACTTTAGAGTATGATGAAGAGCAATATTAAGAGAGATAAAAGAAATATATTCTATATCCTTTAAAATCAAGATACATCCACTATAGACCTCTTAATCTGCCCGGATTTTCGATATCCACCATAATCACCAAGTAATCTTATATTCATCTTAATTCTACAACATCCATCAAAGCTCCGATATCACCCAACCCAACAATAACCCATTATTAATCCAAATCCAAATATTATCCCATGATATTCCCTTAATCTCGCTAAATCCCCTGAATCTTACTAATCCCTAAATATCACTTTTAATCTCCCATTTTCAGCGCCGCAGGCGAAAATTTTGAGGATTTTGGAAGGTCAAGGGGCCAGATTTCTTTCTTTTTTTACCGCCGGAGGCGAAAATTTTGAGAAATTTGGAAGGCTAAGGGGCCAGATTTCTTTCTTTTTTTACCGCCGGAGGCGAAAATTTTGAGAAATTTGGAAGGCTAAGGGGCCAGATTTCTTTCTTTTATGGTGCGTGAAATTTCAAAAAATTGCGTGAAAATTGCGTAAAAATCGTAAAAATCCGCAGCCGCAATACGCAATCCGCAATTTTAATTTTAAAATCCGCAGCCGCAATACGCAATCCGCAAGTCAAAAAAACACGCAATTTCACGCAATCCGCAATACGCAATCCGCAATTGCGTCCAGCCCTGAAACACATCCAGCGGCGAGTAGTGGTAATAAATTTTTGAGTTTTTATTGTTTGGAGAAAGGCGTATAAATTTAAAGGGAAAGGGTTAAAAGGAGAAATAAAAAAAAAGAAATTTAGATGAGCCCAAAATTGGGCAAATAATGAGCCGTGAGTATTTTGAAAATAATATAGGTAGAAAATAAATAAATAATGAGTGAGAAAGAAATTTCTCTTTTTCTGTTGTATACACGCGCAAAATTGGGAAAATTGGGAGGTTGAAGGTAAAGTTAAAATAATAATAATAATTGTTGAGAGCATTTTTCTCACATTTTGAATTATTAAAAAGAATAATTTTATGAAATTTTTTGTTTGCCTAATCAGTAATTCTTCTAAATTGAAGGATATTTTATTGAAAAGACTTTTGAGCAATTTTTAAAATTTCTCTTCAATTAACAAAATAATTGAAGTTACCTAGTACATTTCAATGGACTATCTAACTATGTTTCAGAGAAATGGTTAACTTTCCTAACAGCAACTATCTAAATAAATATTTAATTTTATTTAATAGTATTATTAATTTTTGAATTATTTAATCTAACCTATCTCATTTCATTAAAATTTTAACCACTTCAATCTCCACACTCTTTTTGACTTATTTACCCTTTCCATTATTCCTTCATTCCTACCTTTTCAATTTAATTTTTACCCCTTTTATTTTTTCCATTATTGCCAACCAACCAGCACTTCAAAATTGACACTCTCTCATTTTGTGTCGCCCCTACTTCAACTTTGGCCAATAATTTAAAATCCCTCCTCCATTAACTTTTTTTCCTTTTTTATTTACTTTCCCAAACACCTTTAATAATAATTGCCAGGAACCACAAACTGTCACTTCTTACCTTCTCTTTTTTACTTTACATTTATGCCCAAATAAAATAGGCTTTTTGCATTAATCCTTTAAACTAAAAATTTCCTTAAAAATTTATTTTATTTTAATTCTTAAATTATTATTGGATAATGTAAATACCCCCCCCCCCACCCCCCCCCTCTCCATCCAAAAAAGATTAGTTACTTGAAAAACTCAAATCTTAAAAGTTTTCGTCAAATATTTTGCATTATTTTAAAATTTCCTCACAATAATTACCGCATGAAAATTTCTCTTTTTTTGGCCAATTAACGGTTTAGTAGGAAAGTGAAATGAAAGGAAAAGAGAGAAAAAATAGAAAGGGACAGCAACATAAAAAAGTGAAAGCGTTAAATAGTGGGGGAGAGAGAGTTTTGTTTTTGAGTAAAAGCTTTGGGCGTAGATTACGGTGAATATATGTAGGTATTTATTTTGTGATTAAAAGACAATGGAATGTTTTTTCTTTTAAAAAATTCATTAAATTTCTAAATAAACTTTACCTAAATGATTCATTAAAAAATCCCAAAAATTCCTCTTACTTAAATTAAAAATTAAAATTTATTTACCCTCATTATTCAGATTACCTCAGAACAGCAAAAATGATATTATTTTATTTTATTTATTTAATTTTTCACTATAATTACAAAAACAATTATTATTTTCCTAAATTGACAGCTCATTCATTCTCATTTCTTCAAATTAAAAAGAAATTTTCTTCCAAAAAATATTTCACTCATTTCTCTTACTAACAAACATGATGCCCTTCTTTTCTTTAAATAATCATTTCCTCCAATATTTCTTCTAAATACACACCTTTATTTATTTATATGCTTTTTTCTCGCCGTGTCATTAATTTTGGCCCATTAAAGAAACCTAGGCCTTCATTCTCTCTCTAAAAAATTTTTTTTTCTCCTTATTTTAGCGGCCCAAACACTTGCGCCCTCTTTTATTGAAGACAGGGCCTTTTCCTCTTTTTTTAACAAAAACCTTTTCCTTAAATTCATTTCTTCAATTTATTTTTACCTTTTTTTTCTTTCCTCAATTTCCCCAAAAATATTTATTTTATTCCCTTACTTCATTTTGTCCTCTTTTCATTTTTTTATGTTTTCAGAGCCTTTTTTTCATTCCACTCATTCCATTCTCGCCAAAGACCTTTATTGTTAGCGGCTCACCTTCCCTCTTCCCTCTCTTTACTAATATATCATTAACAAAATAATATTTATTATTATTTATTTGCGCCAGCATTGAAAAAAAAGATTTATATTTATTTATTTTACTAAACTAGGCCTACCAATTTTATCTTAATTTTTCTAAAATGTGGTAAAAATAATGAATGAGAGGAATGAGAATGCCTCATTTAATGGAAGCCACGCATAATCACAAAATAATTTTAATGACGGACGATCAGCGTTGTCTATAAATATTTTAAATTGACGGTTGCTGACACACACAAACAATTTTTTAATAAATATATTTATTAAAATTGTTCTCTCCCCCCCCCCCTTCCATAATAATCCTCATTTTAATATATTGGGCATAATAGAAAATGTTGGGCATGAGAGAAAATTACTTTTTTTAATTTTTGGTGAATGACTAATATAATATTTAATTGTGATAATTTATTTACGTTAAATAAAACATTTAAATTATTACAATAAATTATATACATATGTCAGGATGTGATTCTTTTTTTTGCCATTCATTCACTCCTATCATTTATTAAATAACGAATCAATTAACATATTTCCTAATTAAGATTTGTTTCAATTTTGACAATATTATTATCCTTTTACTCGAGTCAAAGTTTGATTTTACAATGTCCGGAACTAGAGACAAAATTGGACATTGAATATCCAATACTTTAAATATCTACATATCTACAATCTATCTATGATCCCTCAATCTATGATCACATTTTTATCTAAACTTTTAATTAATTAATTTTAATTAATTTTACCTCAATTTTTTTAATAAATCAATTTTAAAAATTGCTACAAACATTGTTGTCGACCTTGATCCGATTCGAAGCTGACAGAGTGGTACGAAAGAGAAGAATCGTATATATAATTGCGTTTTTCGCTGTGTTGAGGGAAAGGACTAATTAATTTGTAAATGAGGGAGAGAGAGGACGAGTTTTTGGGAAATTGAGGGAAAATTAGAAAAAGAAAGAAAAAGGATTGGTTATTGCTTGAATTCAGAGTTTTTATCTTAAAACAAATTTTTATATTTAATTTATTTCTCTTTTACTAATTTTTAAATTTTCTTTCTAATAAATTTTCATTCATTACCTCTAATTTTATTTTTTACCTCTTCTTCCTTCTTTTTGACTTTTTCTTTTGTTTCCTACATTACCGCGCTCTTAATTACCAGTCGAATGAAATTATTTAAAAAAAGATGGTGGATTGCCTGGGTCGGCCGTGTCTATTTATTTTATTTTTAATTGCTTTCCTCCGATCAATGCCATATATCTAACCATTAGAATTAAAACTTTTGTTGACAAAATCCAGAAATGGCGATATGGTTAATTACCCACATACACATAAAATAGTAAAATTGTTTTTTTCTTTCCCTCTAATTGTCATCAAAAAGTTTTTAATTATTTTCAAAATTTATTTCATGGCGACGCTCAATTTGTTTCTCATCTAGCCGATAAATTAATAGGAAATTAATTTTGTTGGAATTTCTTTTATTTTTTGTATTACCAGTCAGAATAATCTAAATAACTTCTCTAAATAACTCCAGGTTGGATCAAGAGTTACTTTTTATATTTAACTATTCTAATATTTTAGTTGTCCTTACGAGTTTCAAAAACATCAACAAAAAAATTTGTTTTCCTTCCTCTCCACCTTCCTTTCTGCCAATTTATTACATCCGCCTATGTTGTTTTTTATTGTTACTTCACCCCTTTTATTTCTCCCCAAAAAATAGCCAATTTAGGCCAATTCATTTCCAGTCAGTCCAGGCCAATTTTCGCCTTCTTTTAACCGCGCCAATTCTCGCCTCCCAACAAATTATATCAAAATTTTTATTCCCGCCGTGTCCCTTTTAGGAGAGCTTTGCCCCTCCCCTTCAATTTATTTACACGCCGCCCCTTTCTCGACTACTTATGTGTTTGTTAGGTGCAAACGACGGGGCGCAAATATTTTTGATTTAATAATTTTACAGTCATTTTGCTTCAAAGCAGAGTGAATGATTAAAATTACTATGGGCACCAATTTTGCGCCTAATTTTTCCCTTTTGCCTGGAGCGCCACGAAATCTGGTGAAATTAAATTGTGTACCTACAATTATATTACCTTCCCCTTTTTTTAAACTTTACAATCAAATTTATTATTTACAGGGTGACCCAAAAGAAACCGGGCACTTTTATATCCTTTATAACTTTTTTTGTTCATACTATTTTTAGATAATTCCAAGTTTATTTTCTAGCTCATTCATTTCTCTATCATATAGTAAAATTATAGATTTTTTGATTAAGGATTAAGAAAGTTACGTAATTTTAAGTACACCATATCAAAATTTTCCCCCCAAAATTTTATTTTCTGTATCTCAGAAAGGAGAAGTCCAAACGGGATGATTTCAACAGAATTTAATTAAGATCATTAGCGAACCGGACAAATCTGAAAGATGAAAATCCAAACTCCTACATGGTTGGCTCTGAGTAGATGTAAATCAGTTTTAGGGGGAATGCGATTCTCTCATTTTGGGAGGGTTACGCGCAATCGAATATCTCTTTAAGCGTTAATCTAAAAAATTTTTTGCTTTATAATTTCTATAGATAAAAGACTGCTCTATATGCCAAAAAAAATTTTTGTGTAATTCCTGCAATCTGTTCTAATGTTATAGGCAAACTGCCTCAAAAAAAGGTGCGACCTGGAGCAATAATTTTTCTCACTTTCCTTTAACCTTATCTCAAAGTAGAATAGGAATAATTCTAAAAGATTTTTATATCTTATTCTCCATTTAATTCTCTATAATTTCATCTTTATTTGATCTCATTATCTTTAATTTAAATAAAGTTATGCCAAAAATAGCGTGCCCGGTTTCTTTTGGGTCACCCTGTATAAAATTTTAATATTTAAATATATGTTAATGGCAAATATAGTAGAATGCTTTTAATAAAAAATAAATTTTTAATTCAAAAAAATGTAAATTAATTTACATACTTACCAATTCCTTTTTAATTTACCGGCATTTATAAATAAATCTTTTTTTTTCTAGCAACAAAAAATGGGAAAGCTAACAGCCATTCCAACACAACAACAACAACCCTCAATTCCATCAACCTCAACAACTTCTGAACAAAATAATAATATTCTTGATTGGTGGAGAGATAATTTATCAGAGCAATCAACAAATAATAATTCTAATTTAATTAATAATTTTATGTCACAAATATTTAATAACGATTCTCAACAAAAACAACAAAGCGATGTTGATCCTTTTTGTACATTACAAATGGCACAAATAGCACAAATGATGTTAAGTGCTCAAATGACTGCTGCTGCACAAATGGCTTCTTTGAATTCTGAAAATGGAGGAAATGGTCAAAATAAAATTTTATTTAAAAAAATAAAATTAATTTATGAGATTATTAGTCGATTAATCCGCGAGTAAATTATTGCTTGTCTTTCGAGTATTATTAATTCTAATGATTTTTTTAATAATCTGATCATTAAATTTCTCTTTAAATTATCAATTAAAATTTAATTTTAGGTTTATTGGAACTTCTTGGCATTAAAAATGAAGAAGAAACAATTATTAATAAAGAAGTAGATAATAATCAAGAATTAAATAAAAGTGTTAGTCCATATGAAGAGCCTCGAGCTAAAAAACCTAAAACTGAACGAAAATTTTCTGAAAAGCCAGGAAATAATGAAATAAAGAAAAATAATCAAAATAATGATAATTCTGATCAAAATGGAAGTTTTAATCAAAATAATAATTACGGAGATTTTGCTTCTGTATTGCGTGCACTTACTTCTTCCTCTGCTAATTTTGCTGGTGCTGAACAATCAACAACAAATTTATTAGATACTTCTTCTCCCCCTCTCTCTTCTCAATTTCCTTCAAATCAAATAACATCGACAGATGATCCAACAGCTTTTTTAATGGCAACAATGGCTGCTGCAGCAACCCAAAATGGTGGAGGAAATAACAATAATAATCAGACAACGACAACAAATAACAATAATAATCAACAAACAAATAGTGGAAATCAATCTCCTTCAGCACAGCAAAAACGAGCCAGAACAAGAATTGGTGACGATCATGTTAAGATTTTACGTCAGGTAATTGAATTAATTTATAGAATTATTAAGTTTGGAGAGACCCTAAAACTTTTCGAGAATTTAAATAATGTACATAATACTTATTAATATTATCCAGTAAATATTAAATTACTTATCATTTATTTCTGTATTTCTGTCTATAATATTTTGTTATTTTTTGTTTTATATTTTTAATTTTCAGTATTTTGATATTAACAATTCTCCAAGTGAAGAACAAATTAAGGAAATGGCACAACGAACAAATCTAGCTGAAAAAGTAGGGAAATCCTTTTGTAAAAAATATTTAAAAAATTAAATTTTTAGGTAATAAAGCATTGGTTTCGAAATACTTTATTTAAAGAACGTCAAAGGGACAAAGATTCTCCATATAATTTTAGTATACCTCCACAAATGAGTATAGATTTGGCTACTTATCACAAAACTGGAGAGGCTAAAATTGTTCCGTTAATTAAACAAGAGGTGTTAAAAATAAAATAAATTTATACGAAAACTGGATGATTTCCCCCCTTATTTCTTAAGTTTCTGTCCCCATAGGGGAGAAAAATTGTTTAATAATGTAATCTCTCCTTTATTGACTTACGAACAGTTTAATTCTTTGTTAATTTTTTTTCCTCACATTTTTTATTTAAATTTTTAATTTTGAAAATAGAAAGAAGAAAATGAATCAATGGGAGAAGAAAAGGATATTATCAGAAATGATCAAGAAAATTCAAAAATAATTGAAAATTATCAAAATGAAATGAAAGATTATTCTGACCAAGAATTAGATGAACAAGAAATGAGTGAAGATAGGGAAGAAGAAGAAGATGGGGAAGAAGAAAATATTTTAATTAAACAAAAAGTGGAAGAAGAAAATAATGAACAACAAAAAAATTTGAAGAAAAAAAATAAAAAATTATTTTTAAACAAAACTGTGGATAATTTAGGAGGAAATGAAACAAAATTAAATTTAAATGAACAATTTAAAAGTATAGAATCTGTAGCTGCTGATTTATTGGCAAGTATTGGTAGACAACAAATGCAAAATAATTCTTTGGGGGATGAAGGAGGAGAAAATAATTCTGGAATTGAATTTTGTAAGGATTTTTTTGTGAATTTTAGATTAATTCTAAATCTAACAAGATGGAGGGAGCTTTGTCTGAAAACTGTTTATTTAGAAAAAGTGTATTTACAATTTTACCCCCTCTTCCTGTTAATAAACTTTTTGGAAACCGCGACTGCAGCTGCTAATTTTTATAATCTTCTTCACATATTTTATTGTTAAATAAATTAATTTAATATCAATCTCCTTCTAAATTTTTCTTTTTTTTTGTAGCACAAGAAAATCAACAATTACTTTCACCGCCTCTTTTAAACGGCACATCTTTAAATTTTGACACAGCTGGACAATTTGCCCAATTAATGTTTTCTTCTGCAGCCGCGGCTGCAGCTGCTGCTGGAATACCTTCCTCCTTCTCTTCATTTAATTTATTTAATCCTTTTGTATCCAACAATTCTATTGATTCAAATATTTTACAACAACCATCAGCAACAACAACACAACAACAAGGTTTGTTGTTTTAAACTCTGTTTTAGACTTCTTAATTATCATTTTTTAGTTGATATTATTAGTCAATTAATTAATTCATCTTCTTCTACTCAACAAACAATAACAACAAATTCTTCTTCAATTCCTTCTTGTTCTTCCTCAACTTCAATTAATTCAATTACTCAAATGATACAACAATCGACAGCAACAACAACCCCAAATAATTCAACTACAACAACAACAAATATAGTAATGCCTGGTGGAGGTTCTAGTGGCAGAAGAGCAAATCGGACTAGATTTACTGATTTTCAATTGAGAACAATGCAAGACTTTTTTGATAAACAAGCATATCCTAAAGATGATGATTTAGAAATGCTTAGCAAAAAACTTGGTGATTAACTAATTTTTATTTTTAAATAAATTAAAATATGGGTTTTATTTAAAATCCGCAAGACAGATGGGTCCCAGGGGGCGTGTTTTAGTGTAAATTGACCCTAATCACAAGAGACTTCCTTAATTCAGCCTAGGATTATCGTGTTATCGAGATTCGACTTGTTTTTTAAACACTTTCTGCCATACTATACCCAATCTTTAAAGTCAATCATAATCAATTTAAATTATTGCTAAATATTTAACTGATTATCTTTACATAAAAAGTTGATGTTGAAATTTTTGGAATACTATGAATAACCTCTCTAAAATATAATAATTAAAAATTCATTTCAGGGCTCTCTCCACGTGTTATAGTTGTTTGGTTTCAAGTAAAATTTTATTTCAATTTTTACAAAATATTTTTTCCACTTTTTCTTTTAGAATGCTCGTCAAAAAGCTCGTAAAGTATTTGAACAACAACCTCATTTAATGGCACATCCATCAATTATTGAACAAGTAAATAACAAAAAAAATTTAATAATATATTTATTTTTCTCTAAAAAAAGATAACAACAGAAGGCCGTTTTGCCCGTACTCCTTCATCAGCTAATTTTCAATGTAAAGTTTGTGGGCAAGTATTTCAACGTTATTTAGAATTAATTCAACATCAACAAAGAATTTGTTGTTCTGTTAAATTAGAAGAACAACAAAATAATGAAGGGGATTTTAATGTTTCTGATATTTTAAATGGAAAAGAGGAAAATGGAATTGAAGAAGAAGAAAATAAACATTTATTTTTACAACAACAATCCTCTAATATTGAAAGTAGTTCACAGGAAATGCTTTTATTTAATCAATTATTGGCTGCTGCTGGATGTTCACAACAACAAATAAATCAAGTAAAATTTTAAAAAAAAATTATTTTTGTTTGGACATTAATTATACATATGCTTGTTTTATTTTCCCTTAAATTTTAGAAGATTGTTGGAAAATATTTTTGGAAATATTTGAATACTCAGCACTTCTGCCGTTTATGAGGGCCTCGTTCTATAAGACCTACATATTTTATTCTCTCTTTCTTATCAATCAAAATTAATCCTTTCCTCCTTACTAACATCTATTTTTCACATGTAGTATGAGGTTGTTCAAAATTTAGTCCCAAAATTGTCTCATAATGATCAGAGAACGGCGGCCCCCTTAAACGGCAGGAGTGCCGAATATCCTTATACATATACCTATTTTAAATAATTAAGAAAAAGAAAATAAATTTAAATTGTATATTTTATTTCTTAGATGAAAACTGACGTTCCCTCCTCTAATAACGTCTCAACAAATGACACTTCCACAGGGCAACAATGCCCACTCTGTGGTTTACAATTTAATTGTAATGACAAACTTGCTAAACATATTTCTGAAAATCATTTTTCTTCTTCCTCTGCAGCAAATTTTTTTAATTTAAAAGAAGAAAATAATGAAAAACAACAAAATCCTTTAGATTTAACAATTAATAATAATCGTTTTAATGGTTATAAAACAGAAGAGGAAATTGAAGAAGAAATTGAAGAAGAAAATGAAAGACAAAATAATAATGATAGTAGAGGAGGAGGAGGAGGAGGATATTTTGTTTCAAATGATCCTTCACTTTCTCCAACAAATGAAGGAGGAGAAGGAAATAATGAAAGTTTATTATTAAATGAATCCTCATTAGCTGCAGCACTTTTATTGCCGTCTTTATTTGGAGGGCAAAAACGAATAATAAATGATGGAATAAATCAAAGACAAAGACCTCAAAGTCAATCAAATAATTCGAAACGTTTTAGAACACATTTAACACCAATGCAAGTTTTTGTAAGTTTTTTTTGTTTAGAAGATGATGAAATTGGAATTTAACCTTTGATAAGGTTAAGTCAGAAATTTTATTGACTTTTTATGATTTTCGGAGATCTCGATATCGAAAGAGAGAAATGTTTACACAACTAATAAATAGACAATCTTTAAAAATACACAAATATTAATTAAGGTAATGAAGTCATTATTTCACGACTACAAAACTCCATCAATGCAAGAATGCGACTCTTTAGGTCGAAGAATTGGACTAACCAAACGAGTTGTTCAAGTTTGGTTCCAAAATACTAGAGCAAAAGAAAGAAAAGCTGGTAGCAGTAGTGGAAGTGCTGGTAAATATTTTTGTGAAATTATTTTGAGGGGATTTAAATTACCTTATATTCTTTTTTTGCAGAACCAGAAGAATTAATTCCTTGTTGTGGTTCTTCCATTTATTGCCAACTTTGTGATATGCCATTTGGAAATAATTTAAATAACAATAATAATAATAGTCAATTACTTCAAGAACATATTTTTACTGAAAACCACATAGAAAAAGTAAAAGAAAAATGTTCTCAATTAAAAACAACAATTAGAGGTTGTTCTGTAAGTATTGGTGGAGATGAACAACAGAATTTGTCATTTTTGGATGAAAAAAGAGAAGGAGAAGATAATTATGATGAAGAAAAAATTGGTGAAAATTGTGATTGGAATAATGAATTAATTGATGATGGAGGGATAGGGGGAGGAGAAGGAGAAAATAAAGAAAGAAATAATCAGTCATCTTCCTCTTCTTTATCCCCACAACAACATATTGGTCAATCATTAACAGCTGCAGCAGCAGCTCAATTACCTTATTATGCTTTAGCAGCGGCAGCTGCCGGTGGAATTGGGGGAATGCCAATGAATGGTTAGAAGGGAAATATTTATTAGAAACAATTAATTGTTATCTGTTAGAAACAATTATTTGTTTTTTAAACATTAAAATATTCTAATTTCTCCCCTCACCTTTCTAGGTTTACTTCCACCATTACTTTATGACCCACTTTTGTTCGGCACACCAGTTTCAGCACTTAAAGTCCCAGAATCTGTTTCACAACAAATTATTACCGATATGTCTTCTGGAAAAGGACAAAGTTGTTTTACACAGGATGGATTAGAAATTAATAAATTGGAGAGTAAATTAGCTGATAATTTTGGATATTTAAGTTCTGTTGATTTGGAGGTATTTTTAGAGAGGAAAATAAAAATTTAAATAATTTTGAAGGTTGGTTGGGGTTGTCAAAATTGTAATAATGTCTTTCAACAACCAGAATTACTTCAAAATCATTGGAAATTAATTTGCCCGGCAGGAGAGGATATTGGTGCTTTTAAATTGATACAAACACATTATCAATGTAATCCTTGCCAGAAAAAATTTGGAACACAGGTACTTTGGTGGAATTATTGTAAATTAAATATTCTTTAAAAATTATTTTTTAAGGATGACTTTTGTGATCATTGCCTTTCTGTGGAACACAAAACAAATTGTAGAGCAAAAAAAGAAAGCAAATAAATTTCTGTGGCCACTTCTTGTCTCCTGCAAATAAAAAAAATAAAAGATCTCTTTACTTTAAATTTATTATTTCTTACTATTTTAAATTCATTTTCTTGTAGTAGATCTTATACTAAACACAAACCCCCTTCTTATGGAATAACCCCCTAAAATATTTCTTTAAAATTTTTTTACAAAAACAGTAAAAACCATCAAAATATATTTACTACAACAAATCTTTTAAATATTTTTACCGGTTTTTGCTCTGGTGTTTAGCTTTAATGCATTGAATTTCCTCATTTTTTTATTGGAATTTAAATATTTTTTAAAATATTTTTTTCTGAATATTTTTTATCTGAATTTTCTATATAATTTTTTATTTTGATTTATTCACCACCACAAAATCCTCATAAATAGCAGGACATTTACTATATATTCTCGTCAATTATATATTTTTTGTTTATTCATTATTATACAACGATAATTAAATATACTTTAAATATACTCCCCTCCCCTTCCCTAATTTGTCACAAAATTTTTGTCTTTCGCAAAAAAATATTTTTTTGAATAAATATATTCACTTTTTATTAATTCCAAATAAATTAAGCTTAAAAATATTTTAACAGCTTTATACCTCTTTTTTGTAAATCTTTATATATACAGTCGTGGAAAAAAGTATGGAAGCGCTAGAAAATTTTTTCTTAATTCTTAATTTTTCATTCAAAAAATACGTTCTATATACCAATCGAAAGCTCTATTCGTATCTCAGTTGACATGTTTCTGCATTTTTCATGAAAATGAAAATTGGCCGAGATAATCCGGATCTGCCGGATATACCAAATCCCACTTTTTCGGAAAAATTTTTCGGAACAAATTTAACAAACCCAAATGATAAAGCATATTTTTGTGAGTATTTTCCACAAAACCGCTTAGAAATATCTTTTTCCGGAGCAGAGATATGATTTTTTGAAAATCGCATTTTTCGCTTAAAAATTGAATTTTTTGCAAAAATAGACGAAAAATGCGATTTTCAAAAAATCATATCTCTGCTCCGGAAAAAGATATTTCTTAGCGGTTTTGTGCAAATGCTCACAAAAATATGCTTTATCATTTGGGTTTGTTAAATTTGTTCCGAAAAATTTTTCCGAAAAAGTGGGATTTGGTATATCCGGTAGATCCGGATTATCTCGGCCAATTTTCATTTTCATGAAAAATGCAGAAACATGTCAACTGAGATACGAATAGAGCTTTCGATTGGTATATAGAACGTATTTTTTGAATGAAAAATCAAGAATTAAGAAAAAATTTTCTAGCGCTTCCATACTTTTTTCCACGACTGTAGGTCCGAGTTATTTTTTATTTAGCTGTCATGAAGAAGAAACAAGGATCACTCCTCCGCTTATCCCTTTATTTATATTTTTTGGATAAAAGATAAAGCTTCAAAATATTTGTATGAATCATCTTTCTATTTAAAACTTAATGTTGATGAATGGAAAACAAAAATAATGATTTAATATGAGGTAAAAGAGAACAGCATTTAAATCGAAATATTTGTTAGTGTTGATGACAGAAAATATAAATAAAAACTTTAATACAAACATTAAATACTCACAGGAAATAAACGAGAAATGTGATGAGGTCGGAGATTCGGACAGACCTCTAAAAATATAATATTTGAGAAGACCTCACAACCACCACAAAATAAACTCAACACAAAGCCAGCCACATTGTGCGGATCAATACACATTGGGACATAAAATGAAAAAAAGAGGAAAAAGGAAAATTCGAATAAATGGGGCTGTCAGGAATGGAATAGTTAGTCTATGGCATTTTTGCAAAAAGCAAATGAGAGGAAAATAGTAATTATAAAAGAATATTTAAATAATACTTTTTGTTATTTACATCTAAATAATAATAATCTTGAGGAACACAGAAAGTAAGAAAAAATAAGGAATATGTAACTATAAAGAATGTTAAAAAATCTAAATTTTAATTATAATCTTTTTATTATTAAATTTTTTCCAAAAAGTTTATTTTTAAAAAATCAATTTATTTTTACATACAAAATTTAAATAAATTTATTTTGATTCGCAACATGTGTTTGCATAAAAATATTAAATATTTCCAATTAAAAATATATGTAAATAACCCAGAAATATATTATGTATAAATTTAAATTCACTCTAAATAATTTTTAAAATTATTCACAAAAATACATATATATTTTATATTTCTTCTTTTCTGCCATAAAGTTATGGATGTTCCCAACTTATTTTGCTAAAATTAAAAAAATTAATTAAAAAAACTACTCATAAATGCTAAAAAAATTAATTAAAAAAACTACTCATAAATGCTCTCTCTTTTGCTGTGCTTTTATTTTTTCTATTAAAAATTTTATTTTTAGCATTTCCGGTTCCCCCGTCTTCTTTAAAATTTATTTTTTTCATTTTATTTACCCAGAAAATGCAATTAAAATTTAATTTATTTAATTTTGAAGAAAAGTTTAATTAAATAAAAATTACTATATTAAATTCCTTTTGTTTTTATAATGAGAGCAAATAAGAATTTTTATTTTTTAAATTATCCACATTCATTATTAACTCTCATTATTTTAGAATTTATATTTTAGGTCTCAAATTGCAATCTTTTTTAATAATAATTCTTTAAATGCTGTATTTTTTAAATTTAAATTTCTGATTTTTAAATAAATTAATTTAAATTTAATTTTCTTTAAAAAAAAGATTTCTCAGCATTTAATAAAAATTATCTTAAAAAATATTTTATTACACTTATTTACTAATTTGCTAATTTTGCCATTTTTAAACTTTCTTTGTATTTTTTTAAATATTTTTTATTTGTTATTTTATTTTTCAAGATTTCTTTTAAATATGCTAAAATAACATTTTTTTAATTTAAAAAATAAATTTTAAATATAACAGGTTTTTCTGTCTGCTTTTTTGGTTAACAATTTAAAGAATTTACTTTTAAATTTTTTTAATTAATTTTTTTAATTTTAGCAAAATAAGTTGGGAACATCCATAACTTTATGGCAGAAAAGAAGAAATATAAAATATATATGTATTTTTGTGAATAATTTTAAAAATTATTTAGAGTGAATTTAAATTTATACATAATATATTTCTGGGTTATTTACATATATTTTTAATTGGAAATATTTAATATTTTTATGCAAACACATGTTGCGAATCAAAATAAATTTATTTAAATTTTGTATGTAAAAATAAATTGATTTTTTAAAAATAAACTTTTTGGAAAAAATTTAATAATAAAAAGATTATAATTAAAATTTAGATTTTTTAACATTCTTTATAGTTACATATTCCTTATTTTTTCTTACTTTCTGTGTTCCTCAAGATTATTATTATTTAGATGTAAATAACAAAAAGTATTATTTAAATATTCTTTTATAATTACTATTTTCCTCTCATTTGCTTTTTGCAAAAATGCCATAGACTAACTATTCCATTCCTGACAGCCCCATTTATTCGAATTTTCCTTTTTCCTCTTTTTTTCATTTTATGTCCCAATGTGTATTGATCCGCACAATGTGGCTGGCTTTGTGTTGAGTTTATTTTGTGGTGGTTGTGAGGTCTTCTCAAATATTATATTTTTAGAGGTCTGTCCGAATCTCCGACCTCATCACATTTCTCGTTTATTTCCTGTGAGTATTTAATGTTTGTATTAAAGTTTTTATTTATATTTTCTGTCATCAACACTAACAAATATTTCGATTTAAATGCTGTTCTCTTTTACCTCATATTAAATCATTATTTTTGTTTTCCATTCATCAACATTAAGTTTTAAATAGAAAGATGATTCATACAAATATTTTGAAGCTTTATCTTTTATCCAAAAAATATAAATAAAGGGATAAGCGGAGGAGTGATCCTTGTTTCTTCTTCATGACAGCTAAATAAAAAATAACTCGGACCTACAGTCGTGGAAAAAAGTATGGAAGCGCTAGAAAATTTTTTCTTAATTCTTAATTTTTCATTCAAAAAATACGTTCTATATACCAATCGAAAGCTCTATTCGTATCTCAGTTGACATGTTTCTGCATTTTTCATGAAAATGAAAATTGGCCGAGATAATCCGGATCTACCGGATATAACAAATCCCACTTTTTCGGAAAAATTTTTCGGAACAAATTTAACAAACCCATTTGATAAAGCATATTTTTCTGAGTATTTTCCACAAAACCGCTTAGAAATATCTTTTTCCGGAGCAGAGATATGATTTTTTGAAAATGGCATTTTTCGTCTATTTTTGCAAAAAATTCAATTTTTAAGCGAAAAATGCCATTTTCAAAAAATCATATCTCCGTTCCGGAAAAAGATATTTCTAAGCTGTTTTGTGGAAAATACTCAGAAAAATATGCTTTATCAAATGGGTTTGTTAAATTTGTTCCGAAAAATTTTTCCGAAAAAGTGGGATTTGGTATATCCGGTAGATCCGGATTATCTCGGCCAATTTTCATTTTCATGAAAAATGCAGAAACATGTCAACTGAGATACGAATAGAGCTTTCGATTGGTATATAGAACGTATTTTTTGAATGAAAAATTAAGAATTAAGAAAAAATTTTCTAGCGCTTCCATACTTTTTTCCACGACTGTACATATATATTTTAATCCAAATATAACGAGATATACATACTATGGCCACCGACTGATTTAGACCTGGGAAAAATATCTCTTTAAATTTCATCTTTTATATATAAATTCTTTATTTTAAAAATAAAGAAGTAAACTTGAAGAGATTTATTTCTAAAAAAAATCCTCCCCACCCACCCTTACTGCCTCCCTCCCCTCCCCCTCTATTTAGCAATCATTTCCATACTAAATTAATTCCAAAAAAGAGGTTAACTTTAAAACAAAAAAAAATAATTTGTTTGTTTGTGATATTTTAAATAATAATTCTTTTTTTGAATACTTTTTTAATTTTTTTTAAAATTTCCTTTAATTTTTCTTTTTTATTCATTCTACAATTCATTTTTTAATATATAAAAACGAATTATTAAAAATAAATTTATTTTTCCCAAAAAGCTTTACTTTTTATCACAAATTTACTCGTACTAGAAAATTATTTTTTGTTTTTTCAATTTTTTAAGTGGCAATAAATTGATATTATTAATTAATATTTTTTGTAATTTAATAAAATTATTCTCAAAATTAAAATTAGTAGATTTATTCAATTATTAAAAAATATAACAAAAAATAAAATAAAAATATTATTATTATAATATATTAATTATTAAAAGTATTTTTATTTATTTAGAAGGACGGAATTGAAAATCAAAAAGATTTGATGTTTAGTAGGTCTAAATCTGTTAGTTCATCAGCTAAGCTTTAAATAAAATCAAATCTTTTTATTGTCAAACAAGAAGGACAATAGAAAATATTGTCTAAATATTTGAAGAATCCCTTGACTAGACTAGTTTGATTTAAAGGAAGTACAGCAATAAAATACAATTATTAAAATGAAGGAAACAATTAAGAGTTTTTGTTATCTTGGCTGTTGTTGTTGTTGACAACTTCCTTCTCCACCTCCTCCTCCTCCTTCTCCTCCTCTTCTTCCAAATCCATCAAAAGAATGTTGCCTAAAAAGTAAAGGTAAATTATTATTTGATGTTTGTTGTCCTCCATCTAAAGAAGAGAAAGAAAGTCTTGATTCTTGTTGTTGTTGAAGTAATTGTTGGACTTTAACTGCTGCTACAGCCGCAATTGCTGGGTCAATATTTGAAGTATTTAAGCAATTTGGAGGTTTAAAAGCACTTCTCGAATAATCTATTAATTCAGGTGAAATATTAAATAAATTTGGAGTTGAACGTCGTAAAGCAGCGGGTAATTGTTGGGCTGCTAAAATTAAAGAAGAATTTAACAAATTAGAAGAATTTGTTCTTTCATTTATCGCAGCAGAAAATAATTTAGCTAAATGATTATTTATATTAGTTGTTGATGTTGATGGTTGTTGTTGTTGGTGAATTAATGATGTTGTTGGTGTTTGTCCAAATAATTGGTTATTTTGAGGTGATTGAGAATAACAAGCAAAATTTGTATTTAATTGTTGTTGGGGGATTATTATGGATGGTTTTTGTTGGGGAAGAGGTGAAAGGGTTGCTGGTACTGTTGGAGGGGGTGAGGGAGGAGAAAGTGATAATTCATTAATTGGAGGAATTTGAAGTTCGTTGTCTAATGCAGAAGAACCTTCTGTTCCTAATAATAAATGAGTACGCATATGTCTAGTTATCATATCACGACGACTCTAAAAAAATTTTTTATAGAAAAATTTCCAATTAAAAAAACTCACAGCAGCATAACTACATTGAGGACAACGATAAGGCTTTTCTCCTGTATGTGTTCTCTGATGTGTACTTAAATGATCACTTCTAGAAAATACTTGTCCACATAATTGACAAGCATAAGGTTTTAATCCCGTATGTAATCTCATATGTCTTTAAAAATATTTTTTTTAATTTAAATATTTCTATGTAAATTACCTAGTTAACATATCAGAACGTCCAAAACTTTTTGGACATAATTGACATTTGTGAATACGATTGCCTTCATCGTTTGCAGAGGCAGAACGATCTCTATGTCTACTAGCTATATGTTTAGCTAAACGATCGTGCATTGAAAATCCCTTAAAATTCAAAATAATTTTTTTGTAAATTAATTAATTTTACTTGTCCACAATGTTCACAAACATGTGTTGCTTCATTTAAGGGAACAAGTAAAGGCGCTTGTGGTTGACTTTGTCTACGACGATTATCTGATATATTCTTTGAATTATTTGTTGTCTCAATTGTTGTTGCTGTAGATGAGGATTGCCGTCTAACATTATTTTGGTGGTCATCTTCTAAAAAATAATTTTAATTTATTTCAAATTTTTAAATTAAATTTTACCCATAAAAGGAGAAATATTCGTTTTTCCTCCTCCAGATAATTCAGATTCTGATCTACTACGTCTCCATAAAGAAGCAAGCATTGGCCGAATAGGCCCGACTTGTGAACAGTCAGTTGCTGGTTGGGGCCAAAGTTGTTCTAACGAATTTTGTGGTATAATACTTGGAACCTTTTTAAAAAATATTTTTTAAAAAAAGGAAAAATTAAAAACCTGTAAAAGATTAGCTTCTTGATGTGCTGGTACTAAAGAATGTCTAATTGCTTCTAATGCCGCAGTTTGTTGTTTAATCCATTCTTCTACTTGTTTACGCCGTCCATTATCCAACTAATAGAAATAAAAAATATTATTTTAATTTCACTAAAAAGAATATTTAATATTTATAATCATAAATAGATTTTCTTTATTATAATCTCTTGGTTTCTAGTAAATAAGAAACTAATAGGAAGGAGATCAACGGAAAAGGAAATAATATTTATTTATTTTAAACTTTTGTCTTACATCTCCAGGCTGAAATAATTCAGTTAATGTAGGTGATGGAGGTGGCTCTTCAATTGTTGGTTTATTATTATTATTAATTTGTTTATTATTATTATTGTTATTATCGTTATCAGAAGTTATTATTTTTATAGAAATATTATTTTTATTTATTTTTTGTTCTTCTTTTTCTTTATTTTTTTGTAATAATTGTAATCTTCTCCTCTTTAATCCCGCATGTAAATTTCCTCTATTTGCCGCCGTTGTTGTTCCTGTGGGGACAGAAAGTGTAGAATGTCCAGTATCCATTCTTTCATCCTCTTCATCATCTTCAAAATCCCCTCCTCCCCCTCCAGACTGTTTATTCCTTTTACAAACATTATTTGATGATAATGCTTCTCCTTCTGAACGACTACGTTCTCTTGCATCTAAATCCAAAGACCGAGGCTGTGAAATAGCATTTGCTGTAGCTAACATTCTTTGATGATAATTTGGATGTTCACAAGAATTATTAATTGAATTATTAAATGTTTCTTGAGCATTGTTACTAGCATGATTGGATAAAGAACTTCTACTTCGAATTTGTTCAAAGCTATGGAAGAAAATGAAATTTAGAATATTTTGTTAATTTAAATATTTGTTTAATATCTTTAGGTTTTAGAATTTTCAAAGGTTCTAAAACTAAGATTAGTAAGACAAAATATTAATAATAATTTTTAAAATTTAATCTAAAATCTACCTAAAATGTGTTAAATCTCCACCTCCTCCAACACTTCCCCTCATTCTCCTAATAGGAGATGGTGACATATTTGGCGATCTTGAATAGGGAGTTGCTGAAGCAGAATATCCAATATGTAAATCAGCAACTCCACAATCAGAAAAGGGGGAAAGTAACGGAGAAAGTAATAATTGTGGTGAAAGGAGGAATCTATGTGTATCAGCCTTATCTTCATTATTTAAATTATTATTTCCTCCTTCTGAAGATTCATCATCAATACCTGTTGACCTGTAAAAATTTTAAATAAAAAATTTCTTTAATTTCCAAAAAAACCTTAAAGATCCTCCACCACTACTATAGGCAATATCTCTAAAAACACTCCAATTAGCTGCACTAATACCGAGAGTAGAATAATGGCAGGTAGAAATTGAAGATCTTGGACTTGACCCTAAATCAGAAGTTGGATAGCTCGGTGATGATGGGGGAGGGATTTTTGACGAAGAAGAATCCATCATTGATTGAGTTCCAGATAAGGAATAACAAGAAATTGGGGGAGGAACGTAATTTGGACTTAACTAAAAAATAGAAAAAATTTTTAATATTTATTTGTAAAATTATTGTATGTATATTAAGAGAATATCATTTTATACATATATAGAATTTATGGCAGTATTATTTCATAAAAAACTTTTTTTATTTCAAATATAAATACCAAATTAATTCGTTGTAATGCATCTACAGATAATGGACAAGGTCGTTTAGCAGAACGTGCACCTGGACTTGAAGTAGTAGGTGATGAAGGTGCAGAAGGGCCTTGTTCACAAATTAATGGAGGTGTCTTTAAATAAATAAAAATATATTTTTATTGTTTTTTACTAATATATTTATTGCTATCCAATAAAAAATATAAAAAATCTAGCCATTCTCCTTTGGCAAAAAACATCAGGCAATATACTCAATCATTAAATAATATATAGCTTTTTAGTATTTGAATATATATAAATTGCTTTTGGTTTTCTATTTTTGGCTTTTTAAGAGGAGAATAGCCCTATTTTTCTACAAGCCAATTCCCGTGACGATATTAAACAAAAAATATTGGGGTGGATATGAAGGGAAAGAATGAAAAAATATATATAGATAGATAAAATGCAAAGTAATCAGACAGTTGTTTATCTTTTAAAATTTCTATTTATTTTTGGGAAAAATAAACAAAAGACAAAATAAATGGAAAATAAGAACAGAAATATTTGTTAAATTAGGGGGATAAATAAATTAACGGGAAAAGATCATTTTTGGAAGCTTGACAACCAACAAAAATAAAATTAACTGAAATTCTAAATAGGGGTTTATTTGAATTTCTCGCAATTAATTAACCTTAACTACCATATTTACTCAAAATGGGTAATTATTGTTTCAATTCCTCGCTGGAGAGGGGTAATTATTTGAGTAAACAAGGTAACTCAAGTTTAAACAATCTTGATTCTCTAATTTATAAATAGAAGAGAGTATGTACATATTTGATATTAAATCTTGGATCTTGTTAGTTCCTTTTGTAAAGATTAAATTAATATAAAAAGATTAAATTAATACAAAAAATAATTCTTATATTTGTAGTTATTAATTTCTTTCCATTATAATAAATTTATTTGTTACTATTTACGTATTTCCCTATTATTTATATTCCTTTTATGACAAAATCAAGTTGAAATTGATACTTTATTTAACAAAGATCTACTACATATTTACCTTTTCTTTAAAAATGATGTTATATTTAAATAAATAATTTAAGGAAAAAGGGGGAAATTATTTAGAATTTTAAATAAATTCTTTATTTGGAGATTAAAAACCTTTATTTATTTATTTTTTATTTTTTTGTCACGCAATTTGGCGCTTTTAACTAAACAAGCACTCTTAAATAAAAATATATTTATTTTCCTCTTAAAAAACACCCACATAAATCTTTGCCTAATTTTCATGCAAAAACACCCACTTAAAAAGGAAATTGGCCAAAAATAGAAAAAGAAAGCTTTAATATTGTAAGGTAAATTTTGAGGAAAGAAAGATAAAAATAAAAAAAAAATGTTAAATAATGAGAAATTTGGAAAAAATAAATAAAATTAATATTTAAATTTGAATAAAATTAATTTTCAAAAATTAGGAATAAAATAATTAAGAATAAATTGGCAAAGAATTGCTAGTTATTTAGTGATTAAAGAATCAGCCAAAAAAAGAATATTTAAATTCCCAATTTTTAAGTGTAAGGCTAGAAAAATCTTAGAATCATTTGAATATTTCCTACTAAAAATAATTAATTTAATCAAAATTTACCTTTAATAAATTATTTTTTAGTAAATTGTTAGGGATATATTTTTGTTGTTGTTCTTCTTCTTTTTCCATGTCCTCAACATTAAAACAAATATCTTCATCATCATCCTGACTTTTTTGTTGTTGTTTATCTTCAATTTCTTCTTCTTCCATCTTTTGTTCTTTATTATTTTTAGAAAGCATTGTATCGACAGAATGAGAATAATAATTAGTAGCATTTGTTGTTGTGTTGCTACAACCAGGTAATGTTAATTTTAATGTATTTTTTATACTTCCCCCTCCTCCTCCTCCACCTCCAATATTTAGTTTATTAGAAGACATTTAATAAAGATGTTTGTAGTGTTAATTTATTTATAAAATGTTGTAAGTTAATATTTAAATTAATTTATTTATTTAAAATAAAAACTAAAAAAATTTTTTTAATTAAATATAGCCTTTACTGGTCTTAAATAACTTTATCAAGTCATTTATTGAGGAAATAAAATTTAAATCAAAATTTAAAAAATAACAATTAAATAATTATTTTAAATTAATTACTAAGATTTCTAAATTTAAAAAAAAATTGTGACAATTTATTTGCCTAATAAAATTATGAGAATGTGTAGGTGTTTATAATTGTGAAAATAATTAAAAGAGAGATCAGTAAATTAAAATAACCAGTCTTATTAGTGAATTAAATAATGTAGGGAATGTAAAATAAATTAATATATTTGTCAATTATTTATTAAATCTGTCATCGATTTAGATTAAATAAAAGGGTGGAAATAAAAAAAATTAAAAGGGAAAAAGAGGGAGGGAGAAAAAGTTTTTTATATAAAATGAAATTAAAGTTTGATTTTTAATTTTTAGAAAAGTTTTTGAATAAATAACATGCCCGACTTGCACTTTTTGGGAGACCTAGTACATAGACCTAGTGTATATTAGAGTTTGAAAACTGGCGATATGGCTGTTTTGAATGTAGTACCTAAAAAGCACTTAATCAGGTGTGAAAATATAAGAGCAACAATCAAGTTGAGGGAGGATAAGTTAAGTTAATCAGGGGGATACAAAAATCACCCGGTAAATAAATGTTCTGTGTTTAGTTTAATTATAACAAAATTTTGTTAAAAAGTAAAAATATATTGAGGGGGAAGAAAAAAGATTTAATAATATTTTTATATATTTATATTTAATCTTTATTTAGATTAGGATATTAGTCACATATTTTCTTTAAATTTATAATAAGATAAATAAACGTAAAATGATAAAATAAAAATATTTATTAAATAAAACTATTATAATAATATTTTTTAAAATAATTTTTTGAAAAAAAATATTAATTTCTGGTTTATCAGAAAAAATTATATTTTATTTGAGGGGGCGGTAAAAAATAAAAAAAAGAAAATATATATAAAGTTTTACTTGTAGTCAATTGTGCAAGTGTTACTAATATTTACATTTAAAAAATCTTTGACGCAAACGGAAACGCCCGCTAAAGGAAAAGCAAATATGGCTACTAATTGGACATTATTGCGCATTAAAGGATTGAAAGAATAGAGGGAGGTAAAGGGAGGAGAATTGATATTTAATTGATAAACTTTAATTGAAAGAAAAAACTTTCTTTCAATTAAAAATAAAATTTATTTTATTTTAAATCCAAATTTTGCAATGTATTAAAAAAATTTTTTTATATTTTAAATGAACGAAAGAGTAAAAAAATAAAATAAGGATGTTCCTGAAATAATTTAATTTTGTAATGTTTTGTTAATCCAAATTTTAATATGAATTAAAAAATTATGTACATAAATTGTATATAAATTTAAAAAAAACCAAAAGGTTAATAATTAAAAAATTTCGTGTTTTCTTTGTTTATTTAAACAATAATAATTTAAAAATAATTTTTATTTATTTCAGATTGACGACACAATAAAGGTTTTTAATTATTTTTGAATGATTAACTAACAAATATTTTCAAAGATTAAAAAAGAAAGACAAGAATAAATTAAAATAAAGCAGACCTTTCTCTTTATTTTATAAAAAAATTTAAAAAAAAAATATTTTTTTTTCTTTAATATATGGGCAAGTTCGCTCACAAATGTTGTAGCCAAGAATAACAAGAAAAAAATGAGAGAATAAAAAACGATAAAAGGAGGAATGTGAAAAGTGGTCTCGCCGCTAGGTTACGTAAAATAATTTTTTAAAATATTTTTTAATCTTTTTTTAATGGAGTTTTTATTAAATATATTTAAGCCGTTTTTTGTTGGTATAAGAATATATTTGTAATAGTTAACACCTATTAATGGTCAAATAAAAATATTAAATAATTAACAGTCCTTATATTTAAAAGTTTATATTTAAAATTAAACATATATTCTCAAAAGGCCAATTTAATTTTTAAAAAAATGGTTAGGAATAAAAGAATTGTTAGTAAAAATAAATTTAATTTTTTGATTATTATTATTCAAAAATTTTAAGTATCAAAATTTAATTGAAAATAACTGGATGCGTTCTTGCCAGAAAAGTTAAAAAATAAAAAAAATAAAAATAATAAATGAATTTTAAAAGTAAATAAATAAATAAATAATTAAAAATTAAATTCCTTATTAAATAAAAAAAAATTATTTTTTAATTAAATATTAAATTGAATGTGTTAAAAACTAAATAATTAAAAAGTAAATACATACTACGAACAAAATAATTTGATATTTAAATATTTAATTAAAAAAAAGGATTTTTTTAAAAACTTTCCGAAGCCTTTTAGAAAAAAACTGTTGGGGATTTTTAGTTTTACATCTGACGCAAGTTAGTGGCTGGCTATAAAATATATTCTTCTTCAACGACGGTTTTTCATAAAGAGAATATTGTTGTGTTAGTATATAGCAAAACTGCTAAAAAATGAGGGTGGGGAAGAAAAGGAGAAATAAAAATTGTTGAGGGCGGAGAATATAGATAAGAGAATATAAAAAGAAAAAAATAAATAAAAGAAAGGCGCGAGCGTGTTTGTGTGGTTATAGTTTAGGGGGGGGGGGGGAATTGACAGCCGCCTCTATTGATTTCAAAGCGGGACTGCTGACTATAGTTGATATTGAAAAGGAATGAAAAAATAGAGAGAATTGACAGAAAAAAATATTTGGGAAAAATGAGAGAAAAAATAATTTTTTAAGTGAAGGAGGCGAAGGAGGGAAGAAAGGCCAAAAGAGCGTTTTCTTTTGTGCCAGCCGGGAGAATTTTATTTCTTTTGTTCTTTTTATTTTATATATTTTTTTCTTTTTTTTTTCTAGTCTACATTCCCCTCCTCATCATCTTCTTCTTGTCCTCCCACGCATTAACTAATATAACCACTTATTTTTTACTGTTTTATAATTACTTAATCATTCTTCTGACTCATTTTTGTGATAAAAATTTTCCTTAGGGAAATTCTAAATTTTAACACGTGCTCGAAATTACAATTTACCAATTAAAAGATTATCATTAAAAGGAGAAAATTTCCCGAAATTGATGAAGAACAAAAAAAGTCATATGATTTTTACATTGCAATGAAAATATGGAAAAATTTTAAGTGAGAGGACTAATAATAAAGCTGGAAATAGATTAAGAGAGAGTTTTAAATAAGGAAAATTTGAACTAAAAAAAATAAAAGTATTCGATTACTACTAATATTTTCAGATTTTTGAAGCTTCAATAAACTGCCAACTTTTAATTGATTCTTTGGAATTAAAGATTTTTTACTTTCCTACACCCTTCTTTACAATTTTTAAAAGAAAATTGTTGCTTTTTATTTATATTTGATTTTTTGTAGTAAACGCCTCCACATTCAACATTTTGTGGTTATTTTTGAGGAAATTGATATACAGTCGTGGAAAAAAGTATGGAAGCGCTAGAAAATTTTTTCTTATTTCTTAATTTTTCATTCAAAAAATACGTTCTATATACCAATCGAAAGCTCTATTCGTATCTCAGTTGACATGTTTCTGCATTTTTCATGAAAATGAAAATTGGCCGAGATAATCCGGATCTGCCGGATATACCAAATCCCACTTTTTCGGAAAAATTTTTCGGAACAAATTTAACAAACCCAAATGATAAAGCATATTTTTCTGAGTATTTTCCACAAAACCGCTTAGAAATATCTTTCTCCGGAGCAGAGATATGATTTTTTGAAAATCGCATTTTTCGTCTATTTTTGCAAAAAATTCAATTTTTAAGCGAAAAATGCGATTTTCAAAAAATCATATCTCTGGACCGAAAAAAGATATTTCTAAGCGGTTTTGTGGAAAATACTCAGAAAAATATGCTTTATCATTTGGGTTTGTTAAATTTGTTCCGAAAAATTTTTCCGAAAAAGTGGGATTTGGTATATCCGGCAGATCCGGATTATCTCGGCCAATTTTCATTTTCATGAAAAATGCAGAAACATGTCAACTGAGATACGAATAGAGCTTTCGATTGGTATATAGAACGTATTTTTTGAATGAAAAATTAAGAAATAAGAAAAAATTTTCTAGCGCTTCCATACTTTTTTCCACGACTGTATGTATGTAGCTTTAGTAATTGAAAATGATGTAGGCGTGAGAAGATGGTCGTAGTAATATTTTAAGATTTGAAAAAATGAGTAGGCGATAAAAATGGCATTTTAAGGGAAATAAAAAAATACATATTTTTTGAATATTTTTAAAAGATTAATTTAGAAAAGGAAACCCTTCTTCTTTAATTTTAAATTAAATTTATGTGTCAATACCTATTTAATCGAAAAAATAATATTTTGGAATTTTTTTAAAAAAATTAATTTAAAATAATCTTTTTTTCTTTTAATAGAGATTGTTTATAATTTAAGTTGCTAAAAGTGGTTTTTACTATTTTATTTCATTGATCTGAGTAGGCGCCTATTTGATTATTATTTTTGAATTGTGACAGTTGTGCTTTTACTATTTATTTTTTATTGTTTGTTTCTATAAATAGATAAAATATTATTTTAAAAAGGTTTTTAAATAGGTATATTTTTAGAAAAAATTTTATTTTCAAATGTTTATTTCTTTCAAAATATACAAAAATTACAAAAGAATTGTTTTTTTCCTATTGTTCTACAAGTCTAAAAAATTCATCCAAATCTTTATCATCCAATTCTGGAAGTATTGACAATGACGGTAATTCATCAAAAGGTTCTTCTTTTCTTGATTCCCATTCAAAATTAGTAAAAATATTGTTGTTATTTAAATCCTTTTTTTAATTTAAATTTAAATAATTTTTAATTTCTTTCCCCTTACTTTTTTATTTAATTTATTTCTTTTTAAATTAAAAGTTTCGGCTTTTCTTTTTTGTATTATTTCAATATTATTTTGATTTTCATTGTTATATATCCAATTAGTTTGTTGTAATGCTAACATTTCTACTTGACTTTAAAATAAATTAATTAATTTATTTTTTTCAAAATACTTTATTTGTTGACATATTCCTTCAATTAAATTTTCATTTTTAATAAATATAAAATGACAAAATTGAATAGAATAATTTGGACATAAAATGGGTAATAATAAACGATAAACATTTTTAAATGTTTTTGGCTCTAATACTTTTAAAAAATTATTTTTTTTATTTTAAATATATTTTTATTTATATTTACATTTTTTGTGTAATTGAACTAAAGAATTGAGGAAAAGTCTAAAATTTAATTTTAAAAATTAAATTAATTAAAATATTTACGGATGAACAAAATTATAAAATGAAGGAAGATTTCCATTTAAAGGTTTAATCTTGCAATATTGACCAAAAAGTAAAGAATGTGCACTAAATTATTTAGAAATTTTTTGAAAAAATATATTTGATATATTTTTTTATGTAAATTCTCAAGAAAAAAACTGATTAAATATTAATTTTATTTTTTTTTCATTTAAGAAACAAGGAAATGTGGAACTCGAATCCTTTAGAACTCGAATCGAATCTTTAATTTAAAAGTTCGGTGATTAGCTTTCATTTATCTCCAACTTTGGCTTTTATACTAAAATAAGCATAACTACTTATATACCACCGAACATTATTGAATTTAGTTTGGATAACTCATAAAAACGATAATATAAAAGCCGGTACTTTTTTAACTGTATAACCGCGCCCTTCAAATCATCAACAACTTGTCTCTGCTCTTCGTGCTCAACGTTTGCTGCCGCCGCCATGCAAGTCTTTGTCAAAACGCTCACAGGGAAGACGATCACCTTGGACGTCGAGCAGTCGGACACCATCGAAAATGTCAAGGCCAAGATCCAGGAGAAGGAGGGGATCCCCCCAGAGCAGCAACGTCTCATCTTCGCAGGGAAGCAATTGGAGGATGGTCGTACGTTAGCCGACTACAATATTCAGGTGTTTAATTAATTTAAATCTCCCATTCTTTTTTAGCGCTAACCAATTCCCCCCATTTTTTAAGAAGGAATCTACTCTGCATTTGGTGCTTCGTCTACGCGGTGGGCTGAAGATCATGGTTGTGGGTACTGGCCACTTCACCTGCATGAATGATGGCCGAATCCAGGACATGGAGCTCAAAGGGGAAAAGTTCAGCGTGGAGGTCGGCGAGAGCGACACCGTGGCAGGTCTGAAGGATAAGATCAAGAAGGTGAAGAAGATGCCTCCCGCGCAGCAAATTCTGACACATCAGAAGCAGGTGCTGGCTAATGACAAGAAGGTTGGGAACCTCGGAATCAAGGCAATCTTTTTTGCCTTTCTCTAACGTCAAATAATTTTTTTTCCTTTTTTTTTGTAGAATGGCTCGGAGCTGCAACTCACCTCTACACTGGACAACGACGAAGACGTGTTGGCTACGGGAGACGAAGACTAGGTGCCACGTTCGCACAGGACTGAAGGAACGAGGAAATAGGTCATAGATGTATGCCGATAATTGTAGCCCCACACATGTCGATAATTGTAACCCTTTTGATATTGTGATATTATTGCCCTCATTGTTGTTTTTGTTCAATGTATGTATATTTTGTTGTGTTGATGAATAAAATGTTTAAAAATTTGTTTTGCTTTTTAGTTTTTTAGACTTATTTTAATAGGTTTTAAGTTTCTGTCTTACTATCCCTTATTGACATTTTATCGTTGTCCTTCCGATAGCCTTCCAATAAGGCCAATAAGGCTTTATCGTCATTAAAAAGCTTACTTTTGGCATAAAGCCTCTATCCTTAACTTTTTATCCATCCAAAATTTCATTATTGAAGGATCGTTGTAATTTCTGTTGAAGCAACCTTTGCTGAATAAAAGTGAACGGCAAAATCCAACAAACATTCTTTTGTTGTCATTTTGAAATGAAATAAAATGCCCGTTAATAATTGTTGGCTAAAATTTTTAAAAAAAATTAAAAGTATTCAAAAATTTAAAAAAACTTTTCCATTCCAATCAGGCTGCCTTTTTGTAACCCCACCCAATTTTGGTGGCCTCCAACGACACACAAATGTAATTTCATTGCTTTGAGATATTCTTTCTAGTCCATTTTCGTTAAAAAGAGTTTCTTGTAATAATTGGTGATCCCTTATATCTATTAAGTCAAACAGAGAGTCACTCTGAGCCATCCATTCAATCTTTTTTAAAAAATTCGGAATTTGAAGATACCGAAGACTTCTTCTTACCGTTGAAATTGGCTCTCTATCTTGACTAAAATTATCACTCAAACCCAACAACTTTCCTTCTTCATTAATTGCAAGCAAAAAATGTTCATTTAATACAGCATTAATTATTGTAGAATTAAAAATTGACGAAATTGAGGAACTTTTATTAAAATTTTTCTAAAATACAATTTAAATTTTTAAGTGAAAATTAATTCAAAATTCACATTAAAAAGTCGAAAATATTGATGACATCTAATAAATGTACAACTTAAAGATAATACTTGTAGTTGAAAAAGATTTTGTTTAATTAAAGTGTTTAAAGGTAAAATATTTCGAATTTCAGTTAATTCATTATTTATTTGGTCTCTTCTTAATTTTGAGGCACCTCTTGTAGATATACTTTTAAAAAGAAAAAAAAAATAAATTTGAAAAAGTATTGTGTAATAGAAGGAGAATCATTTTATTCTTTTAATGGCATTAATTTTAAATAATAATTAAAATCTTTTTTCAAGAGAGAGAGAGCGATTATTCAATCAAATTTAAATTATGTATTCTTACCGGTTATTTGCCAATCCTTTTCGTTGTTCATTTTTGGAGCATGTAGCCTCCAAGTATTTACTCTCATCATCTGTGCTCAACATTTACAGAAACAAAAAACTTTTTAATATTTTTAATTTTAATAATTATTTTTTAAAAAAATATGTATTGAGAACAGTCTTTCCTCGAATATTTTAAATATTTATAACAACAAATTTTGTATTTTGTCCATCAATTTTACTTCACCTATTTTTTCATCGTCTTTTGTTTGCATAAAAAATAGTAAATAATATCCACGTACATTTTTTGGGGGATTAGGTCAATCGGCTGTCTAGAGGTTAAGAGATATTAGGGAAGTGACCTCTCTCTCATTCTTTATATCCACACTCGGCCAGACTCTTTGTGTTTTTGATGTTTGCTTTACATTTTTTGGACGTTGCGATCGGAGTATTTATTTGAATTTAAATTTGCAAACATTGAGATGAATGAAAAACAATAGGGGAGGGAGGGGGGCTTTATGAAATTTTTAAAGTAAATATAAAAATATTTTTAATTAATTTAAGCCTTAAAAATATAATTTAAATAAAATTTTGTAAAATAAAAAAATTATTTTTCCCAAATTTTTTTCCAATTATCTTGAAAGTTGACATTCTTATTTTAATTACAACCTGTTTAAAATTTTATATAGATTAAATCTTTCCATATAAACAAAAATATAAAATATTTACTTTTAATAATTTACTATCTTTATGATAAATAACTAATGTCTTGTACATATTACAATTTCCAACAACATATTAAAAACAAACTGCTGTATACAAAATAATAATTTTAAGCAATCAATAGATAATCAACAATGAAAATTGTAATACTATTTTTAAATTTATTTTTATTACATTTTATTAATAATTCTGAAGAATTAGAAAGATGTGAAGGTTGTAATGCCTATAAATGTATGGAGGATGATATTGCTCATTGTGGCCCTAATGGCTATTTAATTGCTTATGGAGAAAAAAATTGCAAAAACTTTTACAAGCCTGGTATATACTTCCACAAAGAATTTACTTTAACTAAAATTAAATTTTAGAAATATATGACAGATTTGATGAACTTGGAAAACAATTTATTAACTGTACTGGTAAATGCTTAATTTATAATATGGAGCTTTATTTAGAGGTTTTGAAGCAATTAAAACGTCTTTTATTTTTAATTATTTAGAGGAGAGCTGGAGATATTAATTGCGAATTAATAAAAGAAGAAGGCTTTCATAGTCATCCAAAATGTTATTTAGATTGTGGATTTTGCCAAGTTTGTAAATCTAATAAATATGCACTTTTACGTGCTTATGATTTGAAAGATTTCTTTTCAAAAGAAGCTATAGAACAAGTTTATATTGTAATTAAAGAATGTGGAATTTTAAATTGTTTCCTTTAAGTATTTAATATTCTGTTAAATTTTTGTAAAAACCCCTCCTATCCTTTACTTAAAAAAATTTATACAAAATTCTGTTTTTAACCATAATATAAATGGAAAATCTGTTAAAATTATATTTATTTAGTTAATTATGGAATGTTTAAAAATAAAAACATGGCAATTAATTAATTACAAAAAGCTCTATATACTTAATTAGAAAATTTCCCTCAACATTTAAAACTAATAAAAAATTAAGAATAAATTAAAAACTAAAAAGTCTCAATCTCACTCAAGTTTAGACTCTTCAAGAAGTTGTTTTTGTTGCTCCAATATTTGTTTTTCCTGTTTAAGTCGGGCACGTTTTCTCTCTCTCGCAAGCATTTTACGTTCTCTAATTGCACATTTTGAAAGATAATCAACCTAAAAGAATTAACAAAAATTAATTTCTAAATTTTTTAAAAGACTTGTGAAATTGGGCCTTCATCTTCTTCCATTTCTTCAGGATCTTCCAAACCAATTTCTTCTTCAGAATCATCTGCATTATTGCTAAATGGAATAACTGAATTTTTTGCTCGTTTATCAGACTAAAAAATTAAAAAAATTTTTTAATTAAAAAGAAAACAAACATCCATTAATTCATTTGGTTTAGCCATTCTAATTAATTTAACTAAAGATTGGGAATTTACATCAGCTTCTTCAAATTCAACAATTAATTTATAACATTTTACACGCTTTTTCTTAACAAATTGAGAATCTGGATCGGCAATTAATCCATATAATGGATTGTAAAGATATCCAGTAACAAAAATATTTGAATGACTTGAAATTAATTCTGCATCAATTTTGAACTTTTAAAAAAAGAAAATAAGACGATTTTTAAATAAATCCTTCAATAACAATAAAAATCGTATAAAATACTATCGACTGCCGAAATATACATACCAGGGATCTTGCCTCCAAAAAAACAAAATTCCCGATTTCGGGATCCCGACCAAAAAAAACGTCGGGAATTCCCGATTTTCGGGAATCGGGACGACAGGATCCTCGATACCAGGGGTGGGCCGAGTCCCAAAAAATACGAGACACGAGATTCACGAGATACGAGATTCTCAAAAAAATACGAGAACGAGATAAAACGAGATACGAGATCTCTCAAAAAATACGAGATTTCACGAGATACGAGACCACGAGATACGAGATATTATAGAAAATATAAGGGTTTGAATGAATAATGATTTCAGGTGGATTATGAATGGTATTGGGGATTTAGAGGCTCAAAGGATTTATTAAGTATCGCTGATTACGGAGAATATCATGCGATTTAAAAGGAGCACGTTTGCTTATCCATCTAATTAACCTTTTTAACTCTCTCTGGTGATTTGAAGGATATCAAGTTATGTAAAGGCTCACCCTTAACCCAGATCCTGATTAACCGGTATCTCCTTTAATATCACGCCATCCCTTCAAATCCAGATATCCTAACAAATCCACTTATATCCCACATAATTCTTACTCCCTCTATTTCCTTTACCACCCAAATACCTTTACTCCCAGTATCTGTTTACATAAAAATCACAAATCCCTTAATATCCCGATATCTATATAAGCAAAAATTTTTTATATTAAAATCCTGAAATTCAGGTGGATCCTGTAAGATCTCTATCGAAATTAATGGATTCCCTTATATCCCTCCGAATCCCCATATCTTTTTAAATTCACCTTAACCCCAGTAAATCACCGGATATTCTTCTATCCCTTCAGGTCACCGATATTTCCCGCTTGTCGCCGCAGGCAAAATTCATGAGAACGTTGGAAGACATGAAGCCCGATTTCTCCCTTTTTTAGCGCCGCAGGCGAAAATTTTTGAAAATTTTGAAGGACTAGCCAATTTTCTCGCTTTTTTAGCGCCGCAGGCGAAAATTTTGAGAATTTCACAATTTATCCACTCCAGTTTCTTTCTTACAATAGTCACAAATTTTTGACAATTTTCTAAAATAGGTTGAAAATATCTCGTGTCTCGTGGCAAAATACGAGACGCGAGATACGAGACCTCTAAAAAACATGAGATTTCACGAGATACGAGATACGAGACTCAGCCCACCCCTGCTTGATACATACTCTCAAAAATCGGAAGATCCATATTTCTCCACAAAACATACCTGATATTTCTCCATTTTTTCATTATCCGTAGCAGTAGAATATTCAATTAAACTATTTGGCACCATTCTCTTTTCAAGAAGTAATTCTCCCCCAATTATAAAATATTTATTTGTAACAGAATCATATTTAGCTTCAAATCTTGTCCAATGACCGACGGGAAAGTTGTCCCTCTCGCTCTCCGGAAACTCAAAATTTAAAGTAGCATTTCTTGGTGAAAAAAATGTTCCTTTTGAATCTATAATAAATCCTTCATCGATAATATTGTTTGCTGACTGAAATATAAAAAAATATTTAAAAATTAATTCTAAAATAATTCTCACTTTTTCAGCCATATCTTTAGCTGCTTGGATCACATCACGAGTACAAGCAGGTTGGTCATCTATCATTACAAACCTACAAATTTTTTTCGGATCAGGTCCAGTATCGATTACATTAACCCTAAATTAATATTTTCCTTAAAATAAAAAAATTTTTTATAAAAATTTTTACCAAACTTCATCAACCTCCAATTCAGCAAAAAGATAAGTTAAAGGACTTAACAACTTTTTTGGGTCAAAAATTAAACCAAATTCTGGATTGTTGTAAAGTTGCCCAAAAGTATCTGACGGAAATAGACGAAGTTGAATCTAAAAATTAATTTAAAAAAAAATAAATTTATTAAAAAAACAGTAGTCTTTTCTGGTTCATCTTCATCCATATCCACCCAACAAACTTCATCAGTAGTAATATCTTCATAATAATATGCCTATTTAATTTTAAAGTAATTATTTGATTTTTAAAAATATTTAAAAAAAATTACTATATAAATTTGTAGAATATCATTGAAATAAGCATCAAAACGAAATTTAGATCCCAAAGGAAGATTTTCAAATTTACTCAAATGTTTTTCCCATAGACCAATATTTACTCGATTATGACGAAGTTCTGGACAAAATAATTCTCTTCTTCCAATTAAATAACCTTCCAATTTAAGTTTTACCTTAAAAATATTTTTATTAAAAATTATTTAAAAAATATCCCTTACATCCAAAACTTCTCCTTCCTTCTTTTCAACAATAACATTTTTTATATCTTCCTCATCATCAGTTGTATCCCAAGTATATTTACTTGTATTTGGATTTGTTTTTTGTTCATTCCAATCCTTTAAAAGAAATTTTCTTTAAAAAATTAATTTAATTAAAAATACTGTCTCCCAAGCAATTTTTCTTTCATCAACAGCAACTTCAATAAATTCGTCAAATTCCGGTACCAATTTTAACCTGACAGTGTCAATTTGAATTGAAATCCAAGTAAATATTGGAACATCATTATTTGCCTAAATTTATTTTAAAAATTGTTTAGAATATTTAAAAACCTGTAAATTTGCTTCATTCCATTTTTCTTTTGAAAGTTGAATATTCCCAAAAAGTTCCGACCAAATTTTCATTGCATGCCCAAATGGAGGCAAAACACAAATTGTTTTAATCTTCAAAAAAAATTTTTATAAATTTCTTTCCAAAGAATTCTTACCAAATTTTTATCATAATTACAATTTGTTTCATAAACCTTCATTGATTTTTCATAATCTAAAACCACCCCTCGGTTGTCAGAAGTAAAATAAATTCCATCACCAAATTCAAGAGTACGTTCACGACGAATTATTTCGGTATTTTTCATTCCAATATATTCTGAGCAACGAAATCTAACTTTTAAAAATTTTTAAATAATTCAAAAAATTCTATACAATTTAATTGGCATTTTAAATAGAGGGCTATTTTTATCACAAAAAACATAATGGACATATTCGCCAGCTAGAGGAGAAGTCACAACAAACCCGCTATTAACAACATTTGCGAAAGGCCTTAAACGACGGTTTGGAATGCAATCTAAAAAATAAATTTAAAAAATTATTTATTGAAAAAATCTTACGATTCATTTTTTAATTTAAGAGAAGTGCCATAAAGTCAAAAGAAAATATACAAAATTAATAATAAACCTAAAACTACCTTAAAATTAAGATAAAATTAAAAGTAATTAATAAAAAAATGGAAATATAAAAAATATGTTAAAATATGAAAAATTATTTTAAATCTGTCCAAAAATTTTAAATTCCACTTTATATAAATTTAAAATAATTTAAAAGTATTAGTGAAGTTAAAACAAAAACTGCAGATGATAGACAAAATTTAAATAAAAGTTTAGACCATTCCCATTCGGTTTTGCGAAGCATCTCATTAACTTCTCTTTCTAAATCATCGATAGTTCCTAAAAAGTTTAAATTTTCAGTAGGAGTTTTTAGCCGATAAAAATCCATTTCATTCGCATAATCTAAGAGGTATGAGGGAGTTATTAAAAAATTACCAAGCGTTCTATGTGAATGGACGTTTGGAGTAAAAATAAATTAGTTTATATTTTCTAATAAGTACTTACCGTTATTCAGAATAACAAAATCCGCGCGTTTGACCTTCTCCTTCATTGGCATTTGTGCATTGATTCTTTGTTTGGCGTCATTCTCTGTTAATCCATCTCTTTCAATAATTCTTTGCATTTGAATATCTTCAGTACTAAAAGTCTACTTTAATATAAAAGAGAATATTAATTATTTATTTACCAACTAGTAACAACAACTTTACAAACAAATTTTTGCATTTTAGTTTCATAAAGAAGAGGAACATCCAAAAATACAATTTTGTTTAATTTTAGGATGGAAAACATAATTTCACGAAAAACTTCTTTAATAATCTCTGGGTGGGTAATTTCATTCAATTTCCTTCGCATCTAAATTTTAAAATGAAAAGAATTTAAAAAATGCTAACAAAGGTTTTAATGGAAAAACTCAAGTTTTATTCGACATTCAGATTTCTTTTTAATTAAGTTTGAATGTTGGTTTTCTAATTTTTATCTTAAACAGTTTTATTAAAAATAAGGCTAACCTCACTATCAGCAAATACTTTTGCTCCTAATTTTACTCTGTCGAGTTGATCATCATCCTTAAAATATTCAATTCCAAATTCTTCTTTTATTCTTTTGTGAGAATTTTTCCCCGGTTCAACAACTAAAAATTTAAATAAAAATTATGTATATTTTTAATAACCTGCTCTTGCTATTTTGTCTGTATCAATAACTGTATAATTTTTCTTTCTTAAAATATTAGTAACTGCACTTTTGCCTGTTCCAATTCCTCCAGTTAAACCAACTAGCAATAACATTTTAATTTGATATTGTCCCTAAAATGAATCATTAAAATTTCTGACAGAATTTTGTAAAATATAGAAAGCAAATCAACACTTGTATATTTTCTATAAATATTTTAGCTGACACAAAAAATTTTAACCTTTTATTCAAATAAAAATTTTTATCACAAACATAGGAATGTTTTAAGATAAAATTATAAAAAATAATCACAATGAGTAGGAAAAATGCGTGTTAGAGACCATAAAAATTTGAATGATTATGCCCATAAATGCAAAAGAAAATTAAAAAACAAATTATTTTTATTATAATTTAATGAAAAAAAGAATTGCTGCCATCACTTATTCCACTTGCATCAAGCAAGTTAACCATTATTCTTGACATTGTAACTGCTTTCTTTGTTGCAGAAGGAGCATTGGAAATAGAAGCATTTAAAAGAGCACCAGTTTGACTTAAAGTATATTCCTGAGGAAAAAAAAGTTACAAAAAAATTTCATTTTATTAATTAACCGTATGCCTAACAATCCATTCGTTCAACTCATCGCTAGGCAAAAAGAAGGCTTTCACATAGTTTTCAACGTAAAGACGATGCGGGAATGGCCTTAAGCCTATGAGTTCTTCTAATTTTTTAAATAAATGCTCAACATCCATTAATTGGAGAGCTCTTCCTTCATTACTACATTTATTGGATTCAGAATATCTAAAAACAAAATATAAGAATTAATGTTTATATTTAATGGGTAAATTATTAATTTCTAAAAATAATACATTTCGTAGGAATTTTGTGTCTAACTACAGATTATGAGATTAATAGTTTCTTGACTTATGTTTTTAAATTTAAAATGTATTTTGCAGGTTTACGATTAACTACATATAATATTTTCAGAATTATTCAAAACGAACAATTAAAAAAAAAAATATTTTTATTTTATAAATATTTACCCTCGTACAAGAAGTCGCACTGTACACATCGACATCATCGACCAAATCATAAAATTAACTTCTTCACTGATATGTACATACACAGATAATTTACAAAGAATTTCTTTAGAGGACTCAAACTCCTTAAAAAATAGATTAAAAATCAAAAATAAAATTTAAAAAAAACTTTTAAAATGCTGTAAACATAATTTGAATGTTCAGAAGGTATTTCACTTATATTCCAATCAATTAAAGATATTTGTTGCAATATTTGTGCTGATTGCAAAGATTTGGCTGCAACACAACCCAATGTTGCTTCTAACAAATCAGAAGTTGCAGGCAGTGTATTGAAAAAATTTTCCAAATCTTGCCCTCTTTTCTTATCAATAACTAGCGTTTCTAACGTCGGCCGAAGAAGTTCCATTTGTTTTGAAAGAAAAGTTCTAAAATAATTTTTTGAGAAATTCAGAGATTACATAAGAAAAGTTAACAATAAGTGAACCACCATTTTTATTCTGACGAAGGGATAATAAATAATAAAATTTCCAGGGTTATTTTTGTGATCGAAAAAAAATTTTTTTTAATTTCCGTACCGTAATACGTTACCGATGAAAAATTATCATATTTTCGGTATTTATTGGTATCAGTATTATGTTACGAAATACAATACGGTATGAAATTACGATCTCTAGTTATTTTAGTATCAAAACATTGAAATTTAATTAATAAAAATTACGCTGATTCAACTCCGATTAAACGTTCAGCTAAAGAAAATAGGGCTTCGTTGTTATTCAAATCCGGACTCATATTTGGAAATGCAGGGAAATGGTGAATCTGCTAAATTTTAAGATTTAAATTCTAATAAAAAGATAGATTACAATTTACCTCATCTGTAACAAAGTCACCATTTGTTTGACAAAAATAAGTATTTTGAACATTATCCATAAGTTGACGAAGCCTTAGAGAAGTAAAAATTGTCCCAAACTCTTGTTGTTGTTGTTGAATTTGCACATCCAAACAAAAGTATTTGTATAACTAAAACATATTATTAGACAATTAAAAATAAAAAATAAACTACTGAATAAACAAAATAATAGAATAATTGCAATATAGCATCAAAAACTTGTTCAGCTGTAGATTTTAAGATTTTTGCCATACGAAGATATTTACCTAATTAAAAATAAATTTAAATTAATTTACATCTATACCAATTATTCGAAGAATATTTAGGGCAGTATTGCATAAATTAGGCATTGATTTATTTTGTAATATTTGAATAGAATCTAATTCATCTTCTGGTGAATCACATGAAAGAGAATTGCTAAATTTGCTGTCACAGCTATGTGATGGCTAAAAATGGGTCAGAAACATAATTTAAATTACCTATTATTATTAAACTTTGCCTTATTTAAATTTCCTTTCCCCTAATAAAACTATTTTCCCATTCTTTCTTTGTGTATGTTTGATTGGCACTTCCCCAATCATAAATATGAAAAAACCCTTTTAACCTAACCATCATTTCACCTAATAAATTCAAATAATTGTCAATCATATTCAGATTTACAATTTACCTTTATTTACAATTTCTACACGTTTCCCGCCTTATTTGCCAATATATAAGCTTCTAGCTTATTCCTATTTTTCTCCTTTATTTAACTTATGTTAGCATACAACATTAACTTAGCATCTATTGAGGCTTAATACATGTAAACCTCAATAGAATTTAGGAGAAAATTAAATATAACCCACTGACACTACAACTATAAATTTTAAATTCCTAGCCTTACTATGGATACCGTATGATTTATCAAAAAATAGATATGGAATGCCCTTTTTATTTAACTAGTACATCCATCCCGTTTGCTTTAATGTTTCCCATTTCCCATTCTACTTATTACTTATCATAAAAATGTTAATTTTCCTATAAAAATTGTTTCTGACGATTGAGGTGTAAAAGTAAATATTCTCATCACACTATTAAATATCTCTCTCATTTATTAACAATAAAAATATTTATTACACTTACACTGCTATTTATTTGCTCTAATGTAGGAAAAACATCGAATGTTGTTGAATTTTCTATCAAAACAAAGTCCATTTGCCTATCAAGTTCATAGCAATTGGCTTGGAGATAATTCTCCACAATGGGAATATCCAGTCCAAACACATTCGACCGTTTAAGAAAATAGAATTCCTAAAAACTAAATTTTAAAATTTAAATCAAAGGAGTTTGTGAGAGGAAATCAGTTCAAATTTAAAATTCCGCTAAATTTCAAAGTGTTAACAGTTAAATTATTTCAAAAACCCAAATATAGAAAAATATATTTTTAATGTTTTTCTTGCTTATTGTTAGTTTACGTTTTTTATTTTTTAGTTTTTAATCAAGTCTTTCCATTAAAAATGTCACATTTAATTCTTCTGATATTTTAACTTTTTTAGGACCCCTTTTGGGTTGTAAAATCGATTTGAGCGAAAAATAAAATTGGGGTCCGTTGAAGAATAAAATCATAATTCTTTCTAAACCATTTGTTATTAGTTAAGTGTTCAGTAATTAGAAACAAAACCCGAAAAGATTTACTACATGTGTATTTTACATTTATGTATTACAACATTATTTACCCCCCTTCACCTATTAACTACAAACAACATTAAATCGCAATTCATTTTAACATAAAACGAACTGCGCGCATTTATAAATTCAAAACTCCAATCATTTATAAGTACATTTGATAAGAAATTAACTTTGCCTATCATTGCTTTTCCGAACACAATCTGAGAAATTTTATGTGTGCAAAATTTCTTATCTCCTTGTTTTTCTTACCTAGGCCATTTTTATGGTTTTCTTTATTCTCATTTGGCTTTGTTTTGTTTTGAGTTTTTCTAAATAACACCTTATACTTTGACACATCTAGTCATTTTATTTATTTAATTCATTTTAACGAGCCCAGACCTGGAGAATTACTTTCAAAATTTTATTTTCCTCTTTTTGGGTACAAGGAACAAAGAACACATAACCTAAGTCCACTACCAATTCATATGTGAAAAATACTCTTCGTTATCGAACTACTCATTCTATCACCTAGTCATTTTTTCTTTATTTTCGTCTAACTGTAAAATAGAATGATACAAAATATTTAATAAATAAATATTCTTTTCAGGATTGACCATTTTAAGAATTTAATTTAATATCTAAAATTTAATTCGTTCCGTCATGATCCGTCATATTATGGCTACTGGAAATCTTGGTTTTGGTGCTGGTCTTGCTGCAACGCAGGTTGGACTTTGTGTTGGTATTTCTGCAACTAATATTGTGCTTGACTGCATAATTGCTGCAAAAGATGCTGGGAAAGCTGGAACTCGTGCCATTTACTCGTATGAGCAAGCGATTGAGCGAGTGATTTTTAATGCGATTGGGGCTACTAGCGAGTTTGTGCAGGTTTTAAAGAACTCCAATCCTTCATATTAATCATTCTTGTTTAGCATCCGACACAAAAGATGACGGAGCATGCGAACACAACCCTTGACTTTCTGAACGCCGCCACTGACAAGATTTTCCGTCTTGAACCTGCTGATGAGCGTCCGGATAGTTCACTTGTGGAACGTGTCAAGACTTTGGCTATGCGTATTGGTGGAGCTGTTAAGGAATGCGCCAGCACCTTTATCTTTGACCCGGTTTATTATTCGGTTGCTGTAGTCATTCAACAGCTGGGAAGGTGTCTCGTTCTGGTTTGTTAACTGTATGAATTAAAAGAAAACTAATTCTATAAAGGTTGATTATATGCGTAGTGGCAAGGATTGGACATACAACAAAATTAGTAATGGAACGACTGCGACGGTTGCACTTTGCCGAGCTGTGACGGATCAAGCTATTCGTGTCGGGACTACTCCGGGCGCTGTACTTTTGGACATCATTCGTCAAAGTTCTAAGCGTCTCGAGGAACTGTTGGGAAATCTGAACGAAAAGGGATCTCAGGTATTTAAATATTTACAAATCCAGAGCTTTCTGTCAGATAAAAATTATTAAATAATTTCAGTTGCTCACTTCCGGACTTCAATATCGCGTTCAGGAAGTTATTGCCTGGTGCCAGCGCATTTGCGATGCTTTTGCTAAGGCTCGAAGCATTGAGCAGGTGAAGCTTAAGGTATATTTTCATTGTTGACAAAACATGTAAATTAAATGTTAAGGTGCTTGATGAGACGAAGGTTTGCGTCAACGATATGATGACTTACATTATGCGTGCAAGTCTTGGTGGAGGTTCACCGGGAAGGCGTGGCAATAGTGTTGCGGATTAAAATCGCTAAAGCCGTTTCGGTCGAAATCAACGCAGTAAAAGAACATTTGACTTTAATTAATGACGAAACGTTAAGACATTTAATGCTCACACTATAATTTTGCATTTTTATAATACTAAATTTAAAACTCCAATTTATTTAATCAAATATATGTTCTGGTTGATTTCTCTCTATTTTAAATTTAATTTTCTTAAAATAATTTGCTTTCAACCAGTATTCTTTTAAAATAAAATTTTGAACTTTGCAATTATATTTTTTGTATGCAGTTGATGTTTGGTCTTTTTAAACTGCAAGTTTTGTGCAGGGTAATAGTTGATAAAAGAGTAAGGGAAAATCGCTTGGTCAGCTGTTTTGTAAAATCAAAGTTAATTTGATTTTGAAAAATACTTTCACTCGTGTCAGATACAAGTGTGTTGATAGTATTTTATTTACTCCAAATAAGAAAACTCTTGTATTGAGCATTTTTTATTTGTTAAATTTTCCATAAAAAATGACTCAATTATTTTTGGCACTCTATTCATGTTAAGCGGTTAATGAATATACAATAGGAAAATAAACTTACTGGTAAATCAAAAAGAGTAAATTGTACAGACACAGGACAAAGAGTGAATGTTTCACTTTCTAAAAACATATGTATTTCATCAATTCTTTCCATGTGGTAGTGGGCAAAAAAAGATTTCGATTTATTTTCTAGTGTTAATGCTATTAATGAGCAAGAATTGCCAAAATGTCGTTGTCCAAATAATCGAAATCTTTCTGAAATTTCCATAATTCTTATAAATTGATCAATTTTCAAATGTTCAAGATCCATACTGGAGAGAAGATCGTTGTAGAAGGTAGCTGAATAATCAAAAATTTGAAATAAATTGTCAAGCATTGATTTTTGAAGAACTCCTTTATCTAAAAATTTAATTTAAAAATCAGATAAAGGTTACGGTCAAATAAGCTCATTAATCCTGGATTTTTCCAAAAGGGCCAGGTCATAAAATAAATAGAAGTGGATGCCCCCATTTTAACTAGCAATATTTTTATTGTTAGGGACGGAAAACGAGGGAAATTAAATTCGCGAAGAAATATTCCCTTCCAGTCTCTTCTTGCAAAAATTTTAATACAAATTTTAACCTATAATTTGCGCATCAAAACATTCAGAAATTTCTGAGTCATTTTCATTACAAATAGCCTTCTTTTTATCTTCTTCTATATGAAATTTTAAAATTAAATGATAATTTGCAAGAATGTTCACGAGTGAATTGCCAACCTCAATAAGTGCTCGAGTAAAAGATTTTTGGTTTACAAACTGTTTAAAAGGTTTTTATTAGAAAATTATAAAATATAGGAAAATTATTGGATTTCTTTCAATAATTTTTTAGAAATTTACTCATTCGACTTTATGTTTTTTTCGTGTTTCTAAATACTTCGAAAATTTCCTATTTTATTAGAAGGTAGTTCTCCCAGATTTCAATTTAAACTTCTTTGTTTATTACCTTGCACAATTCCAAATAATTAATTTGATCATCCATTGATTGATAATTTTCCATTGAATTTATACAAATTGAAGCAAGTGATGTCTGTGAAGAATTTTGAAAGGCCAATTTAAAATAACTTTGTAATTTTCGAGATGTTTCCTATTTTTAAAAATTATTTAAAAAAAAATAAAAAAAATTAAAAAAACCTCCAAATTTCCAATTAATTCGTAAACTGAATAAATATAAAAATAATGTTTTAATTGAAATGAGCACACTTGTTCCTCTAATAATTTATCAATTTTTAAAATTTCCTTTCTTAAAATAACCAAAATATTTGATGATAATTGTCTAAATTATCTTTTAAAAAATTAAAAAAAATTAAATTTAAATACTTGATTGATGAATATTCAATATATTTATTTATTTCAGTAATTGTTTCAACTGCCAATTGAACAAATGTAAATATACTGCCTTCCTTAAATTTTAAAATTAATAAAGAATTATCAAGGGCGTATCCAGGAGGAGCTGAAGCCCCCTTAAAATGGGAGAAATTGAAAAAAAATTTGGGAGGTAAATGTTAAATAAAGTAAATTTTTTCGCTTACAACCCCCTAAATTCTCAGAATTTTCAGCTGCGGCGCTGAAAATGGAAGAAATTTGGCTTTTGACCTTCCAAAATCAAAAAATTTTCGCCCGCGGCGCTAAAAATTTCTTAAAAATTTATTTTATAACTATAAGGACTAGAGACCGGATTTTTATGCAAATGCATAAATTTTTTGCAAACTTGGCATGAAGTATAATGCACAAAAAACACTGTTTCCGCATGTTTTGAAAACTTTAGAGGGTGTTTCTATTTGCATATAATGCATATTTTTGCATATTCCGGACTTTGCTGCATAATGCATATTTTACTGCATATTTTGAGGTTTTTGGGGAAAATATCACGAAATTTGCCCTAAATCCTGACAAAAAGTGAAAATTTAATAAAAATTTAGTAAAAAATTTGTAAAAATTACAAATTTTGTAAAAAAATTTTTTTTGTTTTTGGGCGCGACCCAAAAATGTCCCATACCCATAATGTCTCACGCCCAAAACGTCCCATCCCAAAATGCCCCACCACCAAAACGTTTCATCTCAAAATGTCCAATAGATTAAAAATACTCAATTTGTCGGACTATACATTTAAAATGAGAGTAATCTTAATAAAAATAGGTGTTTTAATGTTTTTGATTCAAAAAAATTAAAAATTCTAGGTAAAAATTGTATTTTTGCTGCATAATTTCGTGAATATTTTGGTTAACTTGCATATTTTCGTGCATATTTTGTCTATTTTTTATGCATATTATAGTGCATATTTTGCATTTTTTAATGCATAAATATCCGGTCTCTAATAAGGACTCTACCAAATTTTTCAGATTTTTTGAATTTATTGTTAGATGCAAATATTTCAATAAAATAAAAAACAGGTTCTCCGTGAATTTCTCGGACAAAAATAAAAGTATCAGAAAAGTGTCGGATTTAATAATATTACGGATTTAAAACATTAATTTCCTTACTTGAATTAATTCTTTCAATTTAAATTCAGTTTTGTAAAGTTTTTGTATATTAACCATTTCTTCTTTAATTTTAAGCATTTTTTGTCGTTTAAATTCTATAGCAAGAACAGTAGAAGATGCTCGACATTTTTTGTAACAATAATTTACTAACCTTAATTAAAAATACTAAAAAATTATTTATTTTTTAATCAAAAACCTTCTCAATTGTTTAATTAAATTTAAAAGTGTTTCTCCTTCTTTTTGGATAACATCCAAATTTTCAACATTTCTATTAAATTCTAAAGAATTTTTTGCAACAAAAGAAGTTATCTTTTTTGATACAAGTTGCATTTGTTTTTTTAATTTAAACATTTCTTTTTGTAAATCTTCTGTTTCAAATAAAGTATCACAAAGTTTCTTTAAAATATTTAAAAATAAATAATTTAAAAAATTAAAGAAAAAAAACCTCCAATTCGTGGTTAATTGCTTTAAATCCAATTTCTGAAAAATAAACTTCATCAATTCCTTCAAATAATTCTGTAGAGGCATCTTCAGTAGCAGGCATGAATTTCTCATCAACCTATTTAATTTTTAAAAATTATTTTGATAATTCAAACTCACAGTAAAATCTGTTTGTGTGCCATTTGACATTATTAAAGTAATATAAAAAATAATAAAACTTAAATAAAATCTCAACACATCTTTAAAAAAATAATTAAAAATTTCTCTGAATAAATCAAAAATTTCAATTAAATTATAACTAGCGTGACAAAATGATATTTTTTTAGAATATTTACCGAAATGAAATAAAGTATTTAATTAGTAAAATGAAAGAGAAACAAATTTAAATAATTCATTTTTGTTGTTTTGGTGTTAAAAATTCATTTAAAATGTCGTCATGGAAATGGATTTTTTCTTTTTTGTTTCCATTATTTTTGTTTACTTTTTCCTTGTCGATTTTCCATATTTTTTTTGTTATTTTGTTTCGAATTTTTTTTAAATATTTGTTTTTATTTTAGACAATTCATTAAAAAAATGCAAATATCAGAATATAAATTTATTTCCGAAATTTTTTTGGCTTTCAACGGTGAACCTTGCACTTTTACTTCTTTAAAAACATCGCAATTAGAATTTAGACCAAATGAGGTTTATTTTTAAATTTATTTTTATCATATAATTATTTTTTTAATTTAGAAGTTTATTAATGAAAATATTCCTTTGGATATTAAATTTGAGGTTTTAAAGATTGTAGAATTATCTACTTATGTTAGATTCATAGAGTGCTTCAGGGTTTTTGTATTTTAGTTATTTTAAATGTTTTTTTGTTTTTCAGAATTGTGACTTATCTAAAGCTGAATATAATGTGAACGAATCTCCTGGTTGTAATAAACAAACTTCGGAAGAATGTCATCCAATAAAGAGGACTATTGCCGAATCTATTTTTGATGATTATGGACAATATCAAAATATTATTGGCAAGATGCGTGCTGAGGTTTTTTTTATTTTAACATTTTCTGAGCCTATCTTGATCTAACTGTATTTTTTAAACTTTGGGGTTTGGGATTTCGTTTTTTATTATTTCGAACTTTGCGTGGAACTTTGCGTTGCGTTCGTTTTGCGTTTGAACTTTGCGTTATATATGAAATGAAAGCGGACTTTTTAAGCTTTAAAATGATATATAAATGAAGAGAAAAATATTAGAGTTTAATATTTTTATCCGCGATTGAAAAAATGTGTCACTAATTATGTCCGCGCCTAATATATTTTAAAATTTTCTTTTTTATGATTATTTCATTAATCACATTTTGAATTTCCTTATTTTACAATTAGCATATTTCTTTGCGCGTAACCAGAAAACTTAGTGAAATACTAATATTTGCTCACATTTGGTGTAAACGTCTACGATTTGTCAGATCTTTATTTTCATTGATCGGATCAAATGATGGAATCCAGCTTATTAATCTATTTTACCAAAAAACTACTTTTTTATGCCATTTGGATTGGGAATATGGGTAGAATTGTGTTATCTTATAGTTGTTTCAATTCCAAATTTTAGACTTTTAATGAATGCAATTGTTCGATCTTCTAATGAATTTAATAACATTTGTTCAAAATGGCTTCTTGATGCATATTTTTCTGAACAAACTATTTGGATGATTAAGGTTGGAGGAAAACCTATTAAACCTTCTCCTGCACGTTCCACAAGTACTTTGGATGCTTCCATTACTTCCTTCCAAAGCATCGAATTTGATTTATCACAACAAGCAATGAACAAATTGGATGTTGCTAAAGATGATTTTTCCAAGGAATTGTCACTTCCCGTTGTAATTCAAAATGAGAACGTCCTAGAGTCGTTTAATAACTCCAGAGAGCTAATTGAAAAGGTTTGTTAAAATTTTTAGGGCTTCATTAAAATCATTTTTATTTATGTCAATTTTTTAAGATAATTGATATTGGAAGGAAAGTGCATTTTTTGAAAGTTCTCCGCTCAACTCGCTTCTATGAATTTGCTCGAGAAGAAAGATTGGAAATAATTCAACGTTACTTAATTTCTGCCATTTGGCATGACCCTCCACATCGCGCTTCACTTTCCATTGTGCTTCATAAACTAGACGATATAATTTGTGACGATATGCGTATAGAACTTATTCGGAATCATAGAATGGTTGATCATTTGGTGTTGGTACATGCTTATTTTTTTATGCTTCGTGGAGATTTGTTTGCCGAACTTGAGCGATTAATTCTGTTGGTTTTTATTAATTTTTATTATTAATGAAGGTTATTGAAAAGGGGGGGGGGGCGAGGAGCTATAAAGGACGAAGAGAGGATAGTTATTGAGAAAGTAGGAATCAGAAAATCAGGGAAGAAGTACTAGGGGACAAATAGCAATCATTCTATTTGATTATTTTCTAATTATTTAACTTAAATGGCAGCTCTTAACTTTTTAACATAAACTTAATAATAGATAAATTCTACGTATTATTATTCTTTTTAGTGTCTCTTTTGGTGATTCAACAGTTTGTTATAAAACGCCAAAATCTGTACGAAATCGGTTAACTTCAAAAATGAAGATGATTGAAGATATATTAAATAATGCTTTAAAATTATGTTCACCACCAAAAAATATAGCTGATCTTATTGTACTTCTCTCTTCAGAAAGATGTCGTGACCGTTCAAAGACTTTATTAGAATTATTTGGTTTAAGCTATAGTAGCAATTTAAAGAAAAAATTTTCTGATGATTCCACTCTAGCTAGTCCAATGGCTGAATTTTTTTCAAAACAAGTAATGAAAATTTACAAAAAAGTGTTTAACATTGTATCGAATTTTCAGGTTTGTTTTTAATAAATTTTATATACTTTTCGTTTTCAGATGCTTCGATTCTATCTAGACGAGACTACTTATCGTTTTACAAATATTTTCAGGAAAACAAGACGCCTTAAAGGTAACGAAAATTTACAAATTTAATTTTTTGGTTTCTTAAGATACATATTTATTTTAGTTTTTTGGTCTGGTAACACTATATAAATAAGTAATTAGTTAAATAATCTATCAAAACGTTTTTTCAAAACTCCATTTTTCTAAATTTTTAATTTTTAGCTAACATTCAACCCTCTCCTCTTCAAATCTTTGCTATATTACATAAATTGAGGATATTTCTTGCTCGTTTAGGCAATTATATTTTTGACGAAGTTTGTTAATTTTCTTATAATTTTATTAACACAAATTTATTTAGGTATTAATTCTTCAAAGTACTTCAATTCTAAAAATTGTTCAATCAAGCCAAGACCCTTACAATTTATTAAATCGTCACAAAAATCTTTTAAATGAAGTAATGCGTGCATTATTCATCTATCCTGATGCAGCACCAATTTATAATATTTTTATGCAATCTCTTCATGATGGACGTTCTCTTTTACTTGAAAGTAAGTATTTAGAAAGTGATTAATTTAAATTAGTAGTTTTTTTCCAAATTTTCTTCATTTTTTATTTAATTTTGAGAGATTCTCTTTTATTTATTTTTGCAAAATTAGATAGTAGTTGAGAGTTATTTGCGCATAATTATTTCCTTTTTAAATGGAAATCATGTGAAAATTATTTTTTATTTTAAAAAGCTAGAAAATTGGGCTAAAAATTTAGTAATTTATTATTTATTAATATATTCTCTTTTTTTGAATTTTGTAAAACATTCAATTACATACTTGTTAACTAATTTTCTTAATTTGACAAATAACCAAGGTTATGAAATAAAAACAAATTTAGCGACGAGGACAATTAATTAAATAAAAATTGAAGAAAAAATAATTTTTGAACAAATTTATTAAAATTAAAAATTCTTTAAAAGTAATTTATTTGTTTTTTAAATTGCTTTTATATACAGTTTTGTTTTTCATAAAATTCTAAAAGTTAAAAGATCATAAGTCCTAAATAATTAACTAATTGTGAGAAATAATTTATTAAAAGTGTATAGAGACAACCAATTCCCTTAAAATCGAATTTAATTGAAATTAGTAAAATTGAAATGAAATTTGAAATTCTTAGCATTGGATACTTAAAAGGTTAAACCTCTGAAAAACTAAATTTTCATTCGGGAACAAATGCAAGCTTTCATTTACTGGCAAAAAAATTTTTTTTTGCATTTCCCTCATTTTAGAAATATTTTCTGGTTCCTCATTTGTCTTTTAAATAAATTATATTCTGATAAGAGAATTCTTTATTTTATCAAAATTATTTTTAGATTAATCTTTTAATTATTTAATCTCAATTAAATATTTTCTAACGAGGGCATTTAATTTTCTGAATTTCCCTTATTTAAGTTGGCCAAATTTTCTATTTCTTAAAAATAATAAAAATTTAAGTTAAACAATTCTTTTATTAAACTTTTTTAAATTAAATATAGTTTGTCCCAATTTTTATTTTAACGATCAAAAAAGTAGTAAAAATATAAATTTTTAAATACAAACAATAAAAAAAATCTTTTTTTATAGTTGAGGATTTGTGCAGTCTGATCAATGAAGGAAAGAACACAATTAATTGTCACCAACAAATTCTACACAAACATCAACAATTACAAACTACAATTTTTAAATTTGTAACTTCATGTACTCAATCTCCTAAAATTATTTCTTGTTTGGAGTTTGTAGAGTTGGCCAAATTCAATGGGAGGATGTAAAGACCGGAGGAGGGTGACCCATATTTAGATTAAAATTTAATTTTAAATTCACTTAAAGAATCGCAATCATTTGAAATAATTTCATCGAATTTTTTTGTTTAAACTTTCAAAAGAATAAAAGAATTTTGTAAAGTTGCATTGTCCAATTCTGTTTTAAAATAAGGCGGGAACTTGTCTTTGGACCTGATCATTAATTTTTTTGTAGTCCCTTAAAATAACATATATTTGTAAAGGTATAAATTAATGTTGAAATTTCATTTAATCTTTCTTATAACCTTGGTACTATTCACCACAACTTCCCCAACGATAACCTTTCTACCTTCAAAATATTTCTATAATTTAATAAATTTTGAGAATGTTATATTTATTTGGTATTCTTTTTTTTGAACTTTTAATTAGTTTATTTACCTTTATTTGGCTAATTTAAAAAAAGTGATTTATTTATTTTAGAGGTATACTAGGAGTGTTATTTTAAAAATAAATCTTACAACTTTATTTTGATAAACATCCACAATAAGTACATATGTACTTAACTTACCTAATATCTAAAATCATTTTGTTAAATTAATTTTTATCACAAAAGTTTAATTTATTTTTTTATTTGCCCTTTTAGATAATATTTAGGTATATTTACTAACTTTTATGCGCAATTGTCTGCGATTGATGAAAGCGAATGAGTTAATAAAAGGGAAGAAATTACTTGTAAAAATTGAAACAATTTGTGAGAATAAAGGGAATAAAAGGGGGGTAGGTAGTCATGCGGTTTTTGTGTTATGCCCGATATTTGGGGTTGTTTTCTATTTAAATTGTTTTAAAATTTTAATTTATTTTAACTTTTAAATTAATGATCCCTTTTTTTTAAACGTCCTTTTAATTTAAAAATTAGTTGGGTCTTTTAAATATTTTTAATATAAATGACAGCCCCCAAAAATTTTCTTTTTTTATTAATTTTTATTTAATTAAGCAAAAATATTTCTTTAAATATTTTTTAAAATAAATTCTGACTTTTCATCTTCTATTTAAATATTTTCATTTAAATTAATCATAATTCGCTGAAAACGCAAATTTTAAGAGGAAAAATTTTTTATTTAATTTTTTAGTATTTTAATTGAGAGAGAAACGTAAATACTAATTAATATATACACCCCCACTAATTTAGTCTTTTTTTCTTAAATTTTAGTACTAATCAAGTTGAGATATTTCTAAACTAAAATTTTTTTAGTTAATTGGTATTTTCCTTTTATTTTTAAATTTTTTGTTTCAAATTTACTGCTATATTAAATCAAAATTTTATAAATACGAGCGCGACAATTTCAGACAATAATAATGTGATTAAATAAATAAATAGGTAAACAATAAATAAATAAATAATTCCTTTTAACTATTTAAAAATGTCTTTTTAAGGTGATTTGGGAGGGAATTGATATATCTAGATTTACCAAAAGTAACTAGGAGTTTTGGAATGCCCTTGGGCTTTAATGATAAAATATAAATTATTGTTTTTGTTTGTTACACAAGATCCCACAAGATCGGCTTTAATTCGTTTGTAGCTGGACGATTCTTGATTAAAATACTTAATTATGATGGGCAGGTAATTCTGTTTTGGGGCTCTTCTCTTCTATTTTTGCTTTATCTTCTAACTCCGTCTGTATTTTTAGGTATTTATCGATATCCAATCACTAATTATTATATCTCAATAATTGCATACATAATAACTGACAATTTATACATATAAACCCCTTAAAAAATCACACTTTTGCTACATTAATTTTTGTGGCTAATATCTAATTGAATACCATCAAAATCGGCAAGTTAATTAATTTTTTACATTAATTAATTGCTAATTTATTGATTTTATCGGAATAAAAATTATTTAAAAACTTTTTATTTATTTAAACCTTTTAAAACATTCCAGACCCACATTTTTCTTTCTGCGCCTTTTCTTTTGTGTGTCCAACTTTAAACAAGAAATACTAGATCATTTTTTTTAATTTTTTATGATTTGTAGGGGGTTTTCGGAGTTTTATTCTTGGCTATAATTATTTTAAATTTTTAAATTAAATAATTGTAATTAAATATATATGTAGTGTTTGTATTTTTTAAATATTTTTATTCTTTTAATAATTTATATATGTATTAAAATTTAATTTTAATTCAAAATTTAAAAATTTACCTTCATTTTATAATTTATTTAAATTAATTTAATATTATTTCACTAAATTATGTAAAAATTTTTTAAGTTTAATTAAATATATTTTTGTTTTATTTTTTAGTTTTTTAAAAAATATATATTTATGGGTTCACTTAAAGCTATACCAAATATTTCTATGAATAATAAAGCAGCTGTTATTTTGTGTCAATCACAACAACCTTCTAATAATAAAATTCCAGAAAAACAAAATAATCAAATTAAAGGTATTTGAAATTTAGTTTTGGAAAAATTAATTTTATTTTTCCTTTTCAAAAAAAGATGTATCTGCTAACAATTCCTCCACCTCCTCCTCCTCTTCCTCATCTTCATCTTTAAAATCACCAAATAATTGGTCTGATCAGTTTCATGAATTTGTTGTTAGTTTTTACAGAATTTGGGCTAAATTTGTAATTGCCCATCCAATCAAAATAATTATTTTTTGTTTTTTATTAACAATTATTTGTTCAATTAAAATGATTAAAACAAAGTAAGGGGAAATTAATTTTAAATTAAAAAATATTTTTTAGACGTGTAAATGAACTTCGTGGATATACTCCTTATGGAGCTAGGGCTTTACACGAATTTGATGTTCGGGATGAATTTTTTGGGCAATCCGGGATTGGAATACGCTTTTTTATTTTGATATTACCTAAAGAAGAGAATGGGACAATGTTGGATGAAAAAGTATTGGATGAGGCTGTTGAGGTAATTTTTGGAGAAAAGAAGAAGTGTTATTTGCTTTAGTGTGTTTTGTCAAATTTTAGAAGAAAATTTAAAAACCGAATAAATTAACTTTTTAAACATTTGTAAAAAAAATCTAAAATATTTTTTTGAAAATTTTTCAGGTAGACAATATTATACAGAAAAATTTAACAATATACAACCGTATAACAAACAAAGAAGAATCATACAATCAAGTATGCCGCCGTTTTTGTACAATTAATGATCCTGTTAGTCTTTTTGCTGTAAGAGAGTTTTTAAATATAAATTAATTTTGCTTATTATTTTTTAGATTGGATGGAAAGAACAACAAGAAAATTTAAGAAATGGTGAACCTTTAAATGAAAAAACACGTTTAAATTATCCTTTTTCGAAAGTTATGGACATGAATGTTAATCTTCAGGTAAAAAGGGACAAATATTTACTTTTCTTCTTAAAAATATACATAACTAGGGAATGGGGCCCGGTCATCGGGCCGTTTTTGGGCCCTTCGGGCTAGTCCGGCGAAATGACCCGATCAGTCCCTCTGCTAGCCAAATCCTAAACATTAGTATACTTTAAATTTAAAGCAACTCATACTCGATAACAAAAAATGCTGGGACATTTTTGGATAATTTCCAGCCCCCGTCCCAGTAGTAAAAACCACCGTAACCACTAATTTAAATTATACTTTCCATTTATTTTTTAGCTAAGCTTTTTCGGTGTGGAATTTGGGAACAGTAGAAATTACACAAATATGGAGAAAGTAGAAATGATTGTTCTTTTATATCGTGCTGAACGTATTGGAGGGTGGGTATTTAAATTTAAATTTTTAAAAGATTTTCTTTTAAAGTTGGACAAATGAAGATATATCTAATTATGAAATGAGTGTTTCTAATTATTTTAAAAAGTATGTAAATTTAAAATTAATTTTTCTTCTCTTTTTTATCCACTAAAAACCCTCACCTTTTCTCACAAATTACAATAATTATTTTTAATTTTTTAGTAACTTTACTGGCAAATATATTCGAGTACTTTCTATTTCTACTTCGTTTGTTTAAATTTTTAAATTTTAAAAATTATTTATTTTTAATTAAAGTTATGCTCAAGTAGAATTTGACCGTTCCGGCAAAATTTTAATTACTTTTGTTAGTGTTGGGTTAATAATTATGTGTTTAGCTTCTTTATTAAGTAATTCTTTATCGGCAACATTTATGAGACAATTCTCTTTTTATAAAGTAATTTATTTTAATTTAAAAATTATTTAAAAATTGTTTTTTTAGTTTCCCGTTGCTTTATTTGCCTGTTTATGTCCTTTAATGGCTAGTGGAACGGCTTTAGGGTTACTTTTCTTTGCTGGCGTTAGAAATGCGTAAATATTTTTTTCCTTCTTAAATTAAATTAATTTTTTATTTTATTTTTAAAGTTCAATTCTTGGATTAACTCCTTTTCTTATTTTGGCTATTGGTAAATAAATTAATTAAATTATTTTTCTTTTTTTAATTTAAAGAATCCTTTTATCATTTCTAATTTTTAAATGTATTTTAGATTAAAATTATTTTTAAAAAACTTTAAAAACAGTTCCCAAAAAAATTAATTTTAAAAAATTTGCAGGAATTGACGATGCCTTTTTAATGATCCATTCCTGGCAAATGGCAACCTCAAAAAGAAGAAAAAATAATATTTTACCCGCAGCCATTATTAGCGGGGATGTAATTACTATGGAAGCTGAAAAAAGACTTAAAGAACAACAAAGAAAGCAAATAGATTCTTCCTTAGCTAAACAATTAACTGAAGTAAAGTTTTAAATTAAATAATTACTTAATTAATTTTTGTTTTATAATCCGCAAATTTAATCCGCACAATTTTGCGGACTCAGAACCCAATCAAAAAATTTATTTATTTTTTTTAGGTATTAGAAGAAACAGGTCCAGCAATAATGATATCAGCATTAACAAATATAAGTTCTGACATTATTGGGTCTTTTACTGGATCTCCAGAAATTACTCTTCTTTGTGTTGGCAATATTGCTTCTGTTGGTTTTTCTTTTAATTTAAAAATAATTTTTTTTTATTTTTTTTAGATTACTGTTGATTTCTTTTATCAAATAACTTTATTTACTTCTGGTAATTTTTTATATAAAATCAAAACTTGTTTGAATCTAAATCTTTATTTCAAACTAGAGATCCTGCCGTACCGAAATCGGAAATTTATTTTTTATATCGGCGGAATTCTTGTTACAAACTAGTAGAAGAGATCAGCTTTAAGAGATTGAGGATCTCTTTTTTTGTTATAAATCTATCCTCAAGTCCGGTCTCTACTTTGAGCTTTTCCTATTTTAATCCCCCCCCCTCCCCTTCCTCTCCAATTAAAAATCCCCTTTTCTTTTCCAAGTTTTAATTATTTGTGCTCGTTTTGAATTTAACCAAGAAGTTAAAAATGCTCAACAAAATAACAAAAATATGATAATTGTAGAAAATAATACTCCCAACAACAACAAACAACAAATTAAAAATGAAAAAAGTTTTAGAAATAAGATTGAAATTATTTTTAATAAATTGGCTAAAATTTATGTTAAAATAGTTTCGAATATTTGGGCTTCTATTTTTATTTGTTTTGTTTGGTTAACTGTTTTACTTGTTTGTATTAAGGTAAATTTAACTTTAAGAATTTTATATTTTAATTTCCATATATCTTATTATTTTTTAGGGTGTTTCAATTTTTTAAATTTTATTTTAGTGTATTTATATACAATTAACACTCCTTCCTTTTACAGTCAAATCTCCCCCAATTTAAAAATACATATCTCTAATTAATTCTTTTCTAAAGGGTATTGACTATTTTTAATATTTTAACATTTTTTGTCCCTATTACCAATTTATAATAAATCCCAGGCAAATATTCTTTAAAAATATTTTCTCTTTTTAAATTTCAGGCATTAACACAATTCGAAATAAATTTAACAACCAAAAAATTATTCCCTCCAGATTCTCCATTATTAGAAATTGAAAATTATCGAGAAGAGAAAGTTCTCCCATTTTATACCCAAGCACAAATATTTATTGAAAATCCTGGGGATTTAACAAATAAAAAAAGAAGAAAACATTTGGATAATTTAGTTGATGAAATGGAACATTTGTAAATTTAAAAATTAATTAAGAAAAGAAAAAAATATTTTTTCTTTTAAAGGCCAAATGCTTATCCAGCAGAGAGTAGTTTTTATTTTGTTAGAGCTTTTGAAGCTTTTGAAAAATCTTTATCTGAAGGAAATGGAGGGGAAATTATTGATGAAGACAACAGTAATTTAACTACCACAACAACAATTTCTTCAATCCCAAAAACGCAAAATTTTGATTTGACGGATTTAGAGAATTGTTTGTTTTTAATTGAAAGTTAAGAGAAAATGGGGGGAACTTTAATTTTCGAATTTAAACTTGAAGGAAAATTTTTTTTGTTAAATTTGGGGAAATTTTGGTGGAAAAATATGTAAAATTTAAATTTTTTGGAGATAAAAATAAATTAAAAATGATTATTTAACAAACCTCTAATACACTATAAGTATGGGTAACCATCCTTTTCGAGATTATTTTTAGAAAATAAAAAAATTATCAGCAATGATTAATTTTCACCTAAAAATGGGAAAAATTTTCTATTTTTAATTATTTTGTCCAACAAAATCATAAAAAATAAAAAAGAAATCCTCCTAACAAAATTAATTATTTTTAGTTCTTTTATGGCCAGAAAATACCCACTGGAAGGGTCTTATCAATTATCACACAGATAACCTAAAAAATGAAAGTGAATTAACTACAGATTTGGATAGTTTAATGGTTACTGTAGCCTATCATGGAGAGGAATTAAAAGATTGGCATTATAGAGCTTTAATGTTAAATCAGTGGCGGTCTGTTGTTGATAAATATAATGAAGAATTTAATGTTACTGTTTTACATGATGATGGTAAAAATAAAATAAAATTTAGAAAAAATATATATTTTATTATATTTTTATAGGTTTATATTTGGATTTGTTGGAAAATATGGTAAATTTTTTGAATTTTTAAATTGTTAAGGAATTTTTAAAGAAATTATATTTTAATTAATTTGTTGATATTTTAAACTTTCTTTTTTTAAGCCAACAGATATTTGGCAATCTGCAGTAGCTACTTTATTTTGTATGGCTATTATTTGTGCTTTATTTATGGGTAGTAATTTCTTTGTTGTTTGTGTAACTACTGGGGTTATTGCTTCTATTTGTGCTGGTAATTTTTAATTAAATTATTTAAAATATTTATTTTTTTAAAGAAACACTTGGAATATTATCTCTAACGGGAATGTCTATGGATCCAGTTTTAATGTCTGCAGTAATTATTTCTATTGGATTTAGTGTTGATATTCCTGCACACGTTTCTTATCATTTCCATACAGCAAAATGGGAAGATGAAGATAATAATGGAAATCAAAAAACCAGAAAAACGCCTAGAAGCATTCCAGAACGTGTTCAAAGGGCTTTTTCTTCTGTTGGATTTCCTGCACTTCAAGCATCAGCTTGTTAGTAAAAATTTTGAGAAAAACATTTTTTTAGTGACAGGGATTATGTAGAATTTATTCTTTAAAAATATTGGAGGATATCATAATACCTAACTTATTTTGGAGAGGGATGAATTCTTGTGTTTAAACGAGGGAGATTTTATTGCCTGGGGAATTTATTTGTTACAATTTTTAAAAGAGAAAATTATTTTTCAAAATTTTTTTGTCATTTTCAGGTACAAATGCCTGTGCATTAGCATTATTATTTTTACCTCTTTACATAGCTCAAGTTTTTGCCCGAGTTATTTTAATTTGTATTACTTTGGGAACAATTCATTCATTATTACTTTTGCCTGCTTTATTTACAATTGTGGCTAGTGTAGAAAATTTTTATGATAAATATTTTGGTGAAAATACAGTTAAATTAATAAATGGAAAGAAACAATTAAAGAAACAAAATTCTTCATTTCGAGTATAAAAATTAATTAAAATAAGAGGACAGACAGACAGAATTATTGCCAAAAAATCTTTTTCAAGCTCAACTTTTTTTGCCATTTTTTTAAACTTTTTACCCAAATATTTAATTTTTTAGATTTAATTTATTGTAAATATATAGAGAATTTAAATAGAGATTGTGATTTTTAATAATTATTTTTTAACTAATCTGAAAATAACACAAATTTAATTACAATCTCTAATAGTTTGTAGTTAAATTAAAGATTGGCAACAAGAGATTTTGTAAATTTCTCATTACCAATCTTTAATTCCCAAAATTATAAACATTTTCAATTTCTCTAAAAAAATTTTCTTTTGTTTTCATTTCATAATTTTTTTACAATAAATTTTTATATTTTTTATTGCAAAATTAAAACAGAAAAAAAAATAATTTAAAAACCTATCTTCTTTTATTTATTTTCCCATCTATTTTATTTCTTTAAAGTAATGCCTTCAAGTTCAATCCAATAAACCATCGCTTAAATTTTCTACACAAAGTTTCCCCATTTTTAATATTTCCCAAAATTTCTATATTTTCTGAACTAGTAATTAATTGTTGAATTCCTGATGATGGAGATTCTGATAATCTTTAAAAAATAAAAATTATTTTTAGAAGAATTTACTCTCTCTCTCTAACTTACTTTATTATAATTCCTTCAATATTTAATAATGTCGCCCTTCGACTAGAAAGCAATTCTTTTCGTAATTTTAATCCTTTTGTATTAATTTCAAGTTCATAACATTTTTGCTCATTAACTGAAATAACTCCATTTTGATCATTATTTATTCCTTCATTTTCTTTTTGTTGTTCTGAACGAGCTGATAAATGGACATCAAAATAATGTTCCCCTGTAAAAATAAAAACTATTTATTTCTCAATTTTGAGGAGGGGCAGGGAGAGGAAAGAAAGAATTAAAAGTGGCGCTTAAAGAGTATCTCTCCTTATATTAACGGGAATTCGTAATCAGAAATAGACTCTTTTCAGCGTGCAAAATATTTTTAAAAAATCTTTCAAAATTATTTAAAATTTAAACAAACAAAAATTCTTACTTATATTTCTAACATTTTTAGAAAAAACTCTTTGTCCATTTTTTTCAACAACCAAAACATTATTTGTTTTAGAACGATGTAATACATTAATTAATCTATGAGCAAAAGATATTTGTTCAGATAAATGTAAAGATTCAATACAAAAATTAACCTTTTTAAAAAAATATTTTTAAATTAAAATTTTAAATTAATTATTACTTTAATTTTTAAATCCATTTCTTCGGCAGACAAATTTAATTCATTAACATCCCCAACAGCCAAAGATATCATTAAATTCATTAAAAGGATCACAGTAATTATTTCAAATAAAAGTAACAACAAATTAGCAATCCATTCTTTCATATCCAAAATATCATTTGCCTCAACTTCCCCAATCATCTTTTTTTTAAATTAATTAAATTAAAAATTTCTTTTTAAAAAAACCATTGCAGATGTTTTTGTAAATGATTGAAATAATGCAAGCATAAAAGAAGTTGAATTATTTTTCCTTTCAGGATCATCCCATGGCCGAGCACCCGAATTACGCATAATTAATAGAAAAGCGAAAGCAAAGGTAAAAAGTGTTGGAATCCAAACAGCACAAGTCTGTGGAAAAGAAAATTATTTTATTAGAATTTATTTAAGTTTTAGGTGTAAGTCTAACAACAAAAAAAGATGTTAGAAAATCTAAAAAATAACAAGCAACGAAATTAGTCAACGTCAAACGGTCTTTCTAATGAATAAATTAATTAAAAAACTGTAACAACTAAGTAATTCACCAATTAAATCACCCCAATTTTATTCCCCAATTACTTTAATATTAAAAAAATACCCCAAGAAAAGAATAAAGTATTTTGCTCATCATTAAAATATAAGGGCCACAAGGTGCTTTCCGAAGAACATAAAGACAATTTATCCATGAACTAAAAATTATATAAATTAAAAAAACAAAAATTTAAAATACGCAATAATAGCCACAATAGGTAAAAGCCATCCAACAGTTTTCTTTAAAAATAAATAAATAAAAATATTTTTAATTAGAAAACCTTTTCTTCTTCATTAAAACTGTCAAAATCAAATATTTGCCAACTCCAAATATAAAATAAAGCAATTAAAGAAGTTATTACAGTCCAAGTATATGATAGATAAAACCAAGCACTTAATTTTGATGGACTTTTAATTTGTAATTTAAGTGAAGCTTTGACTACCTAAAAATAAAAATTATTTTATATTTATGAAGAAAATTGTTTTTAAATGAGAGAGAAAAAAGGTTTCGTGTAGTCTGAATGGAAATTTTTTCGATTTTTTGAAAAATCAAAGTCAAAAAAGCAAAAAAAAATGTTGCCCGTCTCTGTTCAAGTTAGAATTTTGTTTATAATTCTTTTAATCTTTTTTCATTTGATTATTTTCCTTTCTAATTATTTTTATAAAAAATTTTATATAATCCTTCAATCAATACTTACCAAAATAAAAATGAAGAAAAAAATAATGACAGTCACTAACAAATTTTTAGCAATTGATGGCGGCCCTTCAGCATAAGAGAAAAGTAATCCAAGGTAAACGAAATAAATAACAACATGAAATAAATAGAAAAATGCACAAGAAATAAGCTTAAAAAAATTAAAATAATTAATTAAATTCTCTAAAAAACCTTTTCATTAACAAAATTCAAAACTAAAGGATGCCTAACCAAACGCCATAGGTCATTATCCCTCAATTCTTGAAGTAAATGTCTATTAATAAATTCATGTCCTCTATGTCTACTATTTTCTTCATTCGTATAATCAAATAAATAAACTGTCCTTTCCCCATCTTCATCTTCCCAAAATAATGAACGTTCATTAAAAGAATCCAAATGTTCTCTAAAAAATTTTAAGAAGAATTTCTTTTTTATTTGAAAAATACTTTGCAGTTCTTTCTTTTCTTGGCCGGCGATGTTTTGAAACTTCAACATTGATTTGTAAAGACTTTGACTGCTCAGAATCAGAAGCAGTATTGTCCAAATGCATTGATATTCTATTGACAACAATTTTTTACAAGATTTGTTAACAAATAATTAAAAATAAAAGAACTAGGAAAAGAAATAAAGAAAAATAAAATTCGAGATCGGAAACGGGTCCAAGACCCGGTCCCGTTTCCGAGTCCCTTTTCCCGGTTTTAAAGCAACCGGAATGAAACCTGAAACGTGAATACCGGAAGTATTCCCGGTCCGGGTCCCTCCTGGCCGACTTTCAGAACTCGTTTCCCGAACCCGGTTTTTTCAAAATTCCGATCTCTAAATAAAATAAAACAAAAGAGCATTTGACAAAAAAAATCTGGGACACGCCCGAGTAGGCGCGGGCCAAGTAGGCGCGACCGAGTAGGCGCAGGCCAAGTAGGCGCAAGGCCAAGTAGGCGCACGGCCCAAGTAGGCGCAAATCTTTTAGCTTAAAATATTCAAATTAAAAAATAAGTCAGTATAAATATTTTTATGTTAATGAGTTAGAAGAAAGATTCTTGATAAAAATTAGAAGAAAGGTACCTATTTTAGAAGAAAGACACCTTAAATATCGATACCCTGTTAGTATACGTTCGTACTGTATGCATTAACTAGGCAGTTCAAAAGTGTATATTTATTTTTTAATCCATTAAAAGCTTTTAATCATCAAAAGACTCCTAACTGTAGCTGGACTTTTTTGTGAAACGCCTTGATAGTCGTATCTTGGTTGTTAATTGTACCTTTGTATATACTTCATGTTCCCTTAAACTGGTTAGTTCCTAAAGGCTAACTAGTTAGTCCCCCTTAAACTAGTTGAACTAGTTAGAGTATTCATAACATTGGTAAGCCACAGGAATTATCAAAGCAGCATGGCTCTCACTAATTAACAAACTTAGCAAATAATCCAAAACTTATCAGCAGCTAAGTATGGAGCTTTTATGAGAAAAATATTAAAAGATTTTTTTTAATTTTATCAAAAAATAAAAACATCAACGAGCTTCACTTAATAAATTTTTTTCCCTAAGAAGGGCAGTTTTAGAAAAAGTCCAGTGTCCACATAAAGTTGCTTGATTATTCAGCCAACTAATTAACAAAATTAGTTGAAGATTAATAAAAAAAAGTTTGGGTAAAAATTAAGAAATTTACCCTTGCGCCTACTTGGGCCGTGCGCCTACTTGGCCTTGCGCCTACTTGGCCTGCGCCTACTCGGTCGCGCCTACTCGGTCGCGCCTACTTGGCCCGCGCCTACTTGGGCTGTACCCAAAAAATCTGTAGAATATACAGTAAATTTTTTAAGTTAAAAAAGGATAAAATGCCAGTCAGTAATAAACATAACGCCAAAATAAAATTATGCAAACTAAATAAGATTTGAAATTCTGGAATTAAGGGCATTAAACTTAAACAGCTACATACAGTCGTGGAAAAAAGTATGGAAGCGCTAGAAAATTTTTTCTTAATTCTTGATTTTTCATTCAAAAAATACGTTCTATATACCAATCGAAAGCTCTATTCGTATCTCAGTTGACATGTTTCTGCATTTTTCATGAAAATGAAAATTGGCCGAGATAATCCGGATCTACCGGATATACCAAATCCCACTTTTTCGGAAAAATTTTTCGGAACAAATTTAACAAACCCAAATGATAAAGCATATTTTTCTGAGTATTTTCCACAAAACCGCTAAGAAATATCTTTTTCCGGAGCAGAGATATGATTTTTTGAAAATCGCATTTTTCGCTTAAAAATTGAATTTTTTGCAAAAATAGACGAAAAATGCGATTTTCAAAAAATCATATCTCTGCTCCGGAAAAAGATATTTCTTAGCGGTTTTGTGCAAATGCTCACAAAAATATGCTTTATCATTTGGGTTTGTTAAATTTGTTCCGAAAAATTTTTCCGAAAAAGTGGGATTTGGTATATCCGGTAGATCCGGATTATCTCGGCCAATTTTCATTTTCATGAAAAATGCAGAAACA